TATGTATTACTCATTTCATATAATGAGCATTTTTGGAGTTTGTCTACTCACTCATTTAAAAAAAATGAATACTATAGCTGTTATGTCTCAAGGACCAAGCTAGAAGTTGGGAACAAGCTAAGAGGTAAAATGAATGTAATTCCTGCCTTCCTAGAGTTTAATGGGGGGAGCCTGATTATTAATTGTGAAGAAATGTAAAATCACCATGTTGATAAGTGCTATTGGAAGTGAAGCCAGCAACAAGAAGAGCTGGCGATTGAGCCGAGCTCTGGTTGCTGAGAAGACATCCACTGACGTTAAGAGAAAGAGCAGTTCTGAAAACAACACTTCTGAGCAATCCCACTGCAGAAGGAATGTGAGCACCCAGTTGAGGTTAAAGCAGAGTCCTGGCTGGCCGATTCCCAGCAGAAAAGCACTCTGCCACTCAACCTCTGGCTGGGCCTTCTGTTCCAGCTCTGATTTCTTCCTTAAATTAGATAGTATGTTTCTTGGATTGCTGTTTTGTCTAAATCACCAGTTTCAGTTTGTTTCTCTATCTTTTCTTTCCGCATTATAAAAGGTAACTAAAATAAGAAAAAAAAACCCTATTTTCTTGCAAACCTGTCTTTTTATTTTTCCCTTGGGACTTGCATTCTTATTTAATCAATGTCACTAAGTGAATGATTAGTATTTATTTTGGATTATTAACTTCTGAAATAGAACAAAGAATCTGCAGTACATGTTTTAATGCTCATATTCATCATTGTATAGTTTTATTAGATACAATTTAATACACCACCTGGCAAGCTCCCCGTGACGTATTCAATATGCCAGACACAGTAACAACAAAGTCTCCAATGGAGACGTTACTGGGCCCACTCGAGCAAATCGATGATCAACGGGAGGGACTTTTTTACTTACTTAATACACCACACATTTTCTTTTGTATATTTTAATGAATATTTTATAATTATTCATTGTCTTTCATTGAAAAGTATGCCATGAAGTTAGTATCCTTCTGAGTTTCTATTCAACTTCAACATTATATTTGAAACTCAATTTTCATTTTCATTTCATTTCATCATCCTGTTAATCGTCGATTGCCTCGAGCAGGCCCCAGTAACGTCTCTTTCATCCTAGCCCTGAGATTATATTCACGGCTCTTTAGGAGAATGAGACCCATCATTGTTACTGGTATTTGGCATATTTGGTAGGCCACGGGGAGTTTGCCAGACTCTGCCCTGTGGGCAGGCTACATTCGACAGCCTGCAAGTTTGTCCAAAGTAGGAATGAGATAATAAGATGTCGCGCGGCCGCGAATGTGGCTGCGCGGTTCCGGGATCTGGATTTTATAGTCTCTGAGTCTTGGCCGCTGATGGGATTACACGGCGCCAGGGGGCCAGGTGGTGGGTGTGACCCCCGCCTACTGGAATTTGGAGGATCTGGGTGGAAGATGCTCGACTCCAATTCGAGTAGGCTTGGAGGTCTCGGCCCCGGAACCCGCGTGGCTTTGTCCCTCTGCCAGTACCTTCAGGTGTGCGGAGAGTGGTCTCAGCATGGTGGTGGCTGGTCCTGGAGGTCTCCGGCTGCCGTAGCCCTGGCCGGGGCGGGGAGGAAAGCTCAACCCGCTCCCCTCCAAGGGACTCCGGGAAGGAACACCGAGGCGCGGGGGCAGAGACTGCACTGCTCTCGTCCGGGATCTGGATTTTATAGTCTCTGAGTCTTGGCCGCTGATGGGATTACACGGCGCCAGGGGGCCAGGTGGTGGGTGTGACCCCCGCCTACTGGAATTTGAATTATTTTTTACACAGTTCCCCCAATTTGCCTCAAATGAAAAAATATTGCTAAAAACTATTTAACAAGTAGGTTCAATGTGGGTGGCACTTCCAAATTTTGGTTGTGAGGTTAACACATTTTTCTCAGATGTACAGTTAAACAGTAGGTTAGTATCGATGACCTGGAGGCCAACTTCAGAATCTAGCAGGCATTCTTACTGCATGAGTATTCACTATGCTTAGAACTACTTTTTCCTCTCCAGAAGCTTAATTCTATGCATCTCTTTATCCAGTGTCAGTTTTATGTATTTTAGGTATAGTAAATTACAGTTCTGGAAATGACAGCGTTCCATAGGTACAAAGTCTTCACACCACACCCTCCACCTGAGTCTCTGTTTCCCACCACCATTGTTTCAGGGTCTCCCCATCCAAACTCCATCACCCCACAGGGGAAGCTCAGTTCTGTAGATCAGAGCTCAGGTTCTGTTGCCTTTGCTTTTTACTATTATTCTTTATGTTCATACAGGGGAAGCGGAAGCCTCGGTGGAGGGTGACTGCATTTGTTTGTGATTCCCAGGTTTAATAATAAAGACGCTGAGACTCAGAGTTGGAAAGTAGAAAAGTAGAAGAGAAAAGAAAAGGAGGGGAAAAAAAAGGAGTTCCCCAAGAGCTTGGGAACTCAATATAGGACTAAGTTTAAAGGGACTTTCTTGTAACAGGGAGGTTCTCTGGCCAAATGAATTTCTATCAATTGACAGAGAATGCATGCTAGAGCGATAGCACAGCGGTAGGGCATTTGCCTTGCATATGGCCAACCCGACTGACCAGGTTCAATTCCTCCGCTCCTCTCGGAGAGCCCAGAAGCTACTGAGAGTATCTCGCTCGGCACGATAAAGCCTGGCGAGCTACCCGTGATGTATTCGATATGCCAAACACAGTAATAACAAGTCTCAAAATGGAGACGTTACTGGGCCCACTCGAGTAAATCGATGAACAGCGGGAGGACAGTGACAGAGAATGCAGGGCAGTTACAGGGAAAGGCTCTTCTTGTAGATACTTTTAGGTGGAAATTAGGATTTTTATATTTCTTATCAATTAATAAATGTTACAAAGGATGTAAAGAAGTTCCTGGTTTGTCTTTCTAGCCATTTGCATTAGGTAGGGGTCTCCCTGTGAGTCTAAGATCAGGGCAGAATTTTATGGTGCTGGGGAATTCCTGAAATGTTCAGACAGGACCTTGGGGATAAAGTATGTGTTAGGTGGATGCAGGAGAGAAGAAACATCTGGCAAGAGAAAACTGTGGTTTCCTCTCTGACAAGGGGAAACTGAGGCTGCCTTCTACTTTATGCTACATACCATGAGCTCTTTCTGTATCTCTCTCCTAACTTTATTGATCAGGATGGACTGGAGCGATAGCACAGCAGGTTTTTTGCCTTGCACACGGCTGACCCAGGTTCGATTCCTTCGCCCATCTCGGACAACCCGGCAAGCTACCTGCACAGCTAAGCCTGGCAAGCTACCTGTGACGTATTCGATATGCCAAACACAGTAACAACAAGTCTCACAATTTGTTGTGAGACATTACTGGTGCCCGCTTGAGCAAATTGATGAATAACAGAACAGAGCTTCAGTGCTACAGTGCTACTTTCAAGATTGTGGATTTTAATTTTAAAGATGAGCAGATGCATAAAAAAAATATTTGAATCAGAATCTCTGTGGGTGAATGATTTCCTTCCTTCCTTCCTTCCTTCCTTCCTTCCTTCCTTCCTTCCTTCCTTCCTCCCTCCCTCCCTCCCTCTTTCTTTCTTTCTTTCTTTCTTTCTTTCTTTCTTTCTTTCTTTCTTTCTTTCTTTCTTCTTTCATCCTTCCTTCCTTTCTTTTTTTCTTTCTTTCTGTTTAAAATGAATTTGCTGAGAGGTGAAAGGGGGAGGGAGGAAAACAAGTCTTTGAAGAAGAGGCTGAACACTGGTAATAGGCTTGGAGTTGGAAATTGAACACCTTAAACTCTTATTAATAACAGCTTTATAAATCACAGTGAATACCTTAAATATACAAATAAATAACTTTTTTAAAAAAGAAAGTTTCTATAAATTTACCTTGCACATTGTTTCAAAAACAGTTCAGTGTTTGACATGTGATTTCTGTATCCTACTCCCAAATTCTTTTACTCTACTGCAGTACAATTACAATCTGTAGTCCTCATTATCATTGAAACAAAAAAATTAGAAGCAGGATCTCAAAGTGACCATTGAGAGAGGAACAAAGATGAATAGGTCATAAATCACAAAGGTACAAGAATAGAACATGTGAGTGAGGCTGATCTGGTTGGTAGAACAGAAGGAGGGTCACAAAAACATGTAGTAAATGTCTGGAACTTAAAACAAATTGTATTACTCATTGCACCAATTATTGTATCAGTTAGCAACTGTTGTGTATGATAAGAGGTGCTAGTTAGCATACCAAGGCCCTCCCCGCCTCCCCCCTCCCCCCAGGAACTGCATTTTGGGCTGAAGGCTGCCCCGTTTTGGCAATAGCCAAGTCAAATCTGCATAGGTAAATAAAGTGGGGGATCTCTGTTTTATCTCTCTAATTGTCCCGGTTCCTGGGGCTGAGATCTCCAAGCCTACTTGGATCAGGGCTGAGCATCCTCCACCCAGATCCTCCAAATTCCAGTAGGCGGGGGTCACACCCACCAACTGGCCCCCTGGCGCCGTGTAATCCCATCAATGACCAAGACCCAGAGACTATAAAACCCAGCTCCCGGAACTGCGCAGCCGCGAATGCACCATTTTAATATCTCATTCCTACTTTGGACAAAATGGCAGGCTACCAAATGTAACTTGCCCACACGGCAGAGTCTGGAAAACTCCTTGTGGCGTACCCAATATGCCAAATACCAGTAACAGTGATGGGTCTCATTCTCCTAACTCTGAAAGAGCCTTGAATATGGCACTTTTAAAAAAATCTCAGGGCTAGGACGAAGGAGATGTTACTGGGGCCTGCTCGAGGCAATCGACGAATAATCGAAGAATTGCCAATCTGTTACTTGGTCAATTTTCTATAACATAATTAAGTTGCTGTCCCTAGCAAGAGCAAGAATTCAAATGTTTTTTCCCATTCTTGTCCTACCCAGGAGCTGTGAAAGTCATCTCTTTGTGTGCCCAAACAAGGGGTTTGCAAAAAAAATAACATCCAGCCAGTTATTTCCTGTTGACCAGTCCCAAGAGAGCAGACAGAGGAAACAGAAGAGGTGTCTTTTATTTGATTTTCAATTAAATTTTTAATTGAGGTAACGTTGTTTTACAAGTACGCACATTTTTATATTTACAAGAATGCACATGGTTTTATTACTAGACCATGTCCATGACAAAGTGCCGATATCTCTCCACCACTCACCCTAGGGCCTGACCTGTCCACTAGTGGCCTCCCACAGAGCTTGGTCACCTCAGTTCTGTGATCACAGTTCGAAATCTGTTTTCATCGGATACTATCTCTTTCCTTGATTTATTTACCACATGTCAGTGAGATCGTATTTGTCTTTCTCCTTCTGACTTATTTCACCTAGCATGAGCCCCTCCAGTTTTCCCCATGTTGTAGCCAATGGCATGGTTTTATCTTTTCTAGGAGCTCAATAGTATTTCATTATGTGTTTATATCATAAACTCTCCATCCACTCCTGTGACCAAGCACTTGGGGTTTTTCCAAGTCTTGGCTTTTACAAATAACACCTGAACAAATTCTATCTTTTTAAATGAGTGGTTTTGTGTTCTTTGGATAGTTACCCACGAGCAGCATTGTGGGATCATATGGTAGTCCTATTTTTAATTTTTTTGAGAAATTTCTCTACTGTTTTCCATAGGGGCTGGACAAATTTACATTATCACTCACCAAGAGTGAATGAAGGTTTATTTTTTCTCCACATCCTGGGGGACACTGATTGCTTTACCTGTTTTGATTCAGACCATTCTCATAAGGGAGAGGTGAGAGCTCCTTGTTATTTTGATAGCTGCTCCCTGATTATCAGTGATGAACATGTGGTCTGTCTGTTGCTCTCTGTATATATTCCTTGATAAAACATTGTTCTTCTACCACCTCCCTGCCTTCCTTTTGATGTTATTTTGAATTTCTGTGAATTCTTGACTGGCAAATATGAGCTCTTGGTCAGATCTTGCGTATTAATCATTGTTCACATCTATAAAAGTTACATATTTTAAAAACTTAGTCTCAGGAATTTTTCTTAATCCATGTTTACAAGTCTATCAAAAAATACATATGACGTATATAGCTTCATAGTTATAGCTTGAAATTTTTCAGTTATTTGTGTTTTTCAGCAGTATTTTATTATTTTATTTTAGTTTTGGTCATTGGGCCATATGCAGCTATCCCCCAAACTAGTTCCTGTGCTCAGTAATCACTTGTGGAAGTGCTCAGGAGGCCCACAATAGGCAGTGGCAGGGATCAGGCCTGGCCCTTATCTGCTGTCCTATCTCTTTTGGCCACTGTAGTTTTATTTTATTTTATTTATTTTTGCTTTTTTGGATCACACCCGGCGATGCACAGGGGTTACTCCTGGTTCTTCACTCAGGAATCACTCTTGGCGGTGCTTGGAAGACCATACGGGATCCTGGGAATCGAACCCGAGTCGGCCTCGTGCAAGGCAAACGCCCTACCCGCTGTGTTATTGCTGCAGCCCCTGTAGTTTTAAAATAGAGGTTGGGATGAAGATAAACCAGGGGAAACTGCCAATCACAATTTTAGTTCGAAATTCATTGTGTCTGTGAAATACCCACAAAAACATGAACAGTAACAGTTGCTATAACATACATGGTTCATCGAGCTACATTCAAATAACGTTCAAGCTGGTATAAAAAACATACATCAGTCATTACTCCTTATTTAGGCTACTGCGTTCACTTCTTTTTCACCTGTGTTTTCTAGCCACTTTTTTTTTTGAGTTTTAATAGTTAAGCAATTACTTTTTCTTTTACCTCATGCTGTCTATGCCTCTCACCTTAAATTTATATGAATCATAGAGTTTACTTTTAAACACCAATGTAGAGGATTCACAATGAGGATTCACCTTACTTTTCATTAATTTGCTTCATTACTTTGTATCTATACATTACTTTGTATATATATTTCTGAAGGATTCAGAATTGCTCACACACTAATGTGTTACTTAATTACTAAAACGGGGCTGGAAGAGAGGTCCAAGTTCATTTTCTCCCTTACATTTTCGTTTCCTGGTCTGCTTTGTAGGCTGGAAGCAAATGTCCATCCTTTTCTAAGGAATCCAAGTTTGTTTTATTGGTGACTTCCTTTCCATTTTCCAATCCCTTGGCACCTTCTCCTTTATATTTTTTCTTCATGGCAGAAATAAATAGAAAATAGAAAACAAGTCCTATGAATTTTAAGGTCATAGTCAACCCCAGGAAGGAATACCTGTCAAGAGAGAAAATAGTTAATTTTTTTAATTATGTGGAAGAATTGAAAACTGTTGGTTTCTAGGAGGTGACCTTGAAAAAAAAGAATACGTTTGAAATTATAATTACACATATAAATATTAAATCAGCAAGTCTAGACATTTTTTTCATGGTTTAAAATGTACTTTAAAAAGTTTTTTTCTAGATGAAATCATAAAATTTACATACAAGTGGTACTACATGGAAAGTATCATGCTAAGCAAAATGAGTCAGAAAGAGAGGGACAGATATAGAAAGATTTCATTCATCTGGGAGATATAAAGTAACAAAATAGGAGATTAATACCCAAGAATAGCTGAGATCAGTACCTGAAGGATTACTCCATAGCTTAGAGGCCAGCCAAGCATTCTAGGGGAAAGGGCAGCTCAGATAGAGAAGGGAGCACCAAATAAAGGGTGTTTGGAGGATCCTCCCAGGAGGGGAGATGCATGTTGAAAGTAGACTATGGACTGAACGTGATTGCCACTCAATGCCTCTTTTGCAGACCACAACACCCAAAAGGAGAGAGAGAACAAAAGGAAATGCCCTGTCACAGTGGCAGGGTGGGATGGGGGGGATGGGTGTGGGAGGGATTCTGGGATCCATGGTGGCGGAAAATGGGCACTGGTGGAGGGATGGGTATTTGATCATTGTATAATCAAAACCCAAGCACAAAAATTTGTAAATCTACAACTGTACCTCATGGTGTTTCACTAATAAAAAAATAGAGAAAATCATAAATAAAAAAAAAGGTTTTTCTTTACTAGGATTATTTGATTAAAGAATGTAAGGGTGATTAAGAATCAACCCAGGGGTTTTCTCCCTAAACTAACTAAAGATTCTTTGGAGTATTGAAGTTTCTAAAACACAGATAAATAGGATTAGATGGTAAAGGGCATGAAATAATGAGATGATCCAATGGAATCCATATAGATTGAACTAGGAGCCAAAGCTTAGCTTCAAGGCAAAATACAGTCTACTAGGCCTTTGGACAGTTATAACATAAACTTACATAGATTACACATTCTAGTCCTGTGATTCTTAACTTTGGTTGCATATTAGGATCACAAGAGGGAAAATTTAAATGTATATGCTGAGGCCATACTTCCTGACAAGTGAAAAATGCCTAAGGTTGGGTCACAGAAAGCAGTATTTTTAAAGTTTATGAGGTGATTTTCCATGACTGGGGGGATTGATGAGCACTGTCTTCATTGGTTAGGGAGCTTTAAGTGGTCTCATGGCATTATCAACTAAATGAAATGAAACATATGAAATATACTTTGAACAGCTATTAGATCTAATTGAAGATGACTTTGAGGATTTTTTGTCTCCTAAGCGCCACACCTGGTGGTGCACAGGACTTACTGCTGGCTGCGTGCTCCAGATCCACTCCTGGAGGGACTCAGGGGACCGAATGGGCTGCTGGGTATAGAATATAGGTCCACCATATGTAAAGCCTGAGCCCTGACTTCTGTATTTCCTCTCCAGTTCCAACTCTGAGAGTTTTAATTTTAAATTTATTAAATTGGAATAAAATATTTCAGTATACAGAATATGAGGAGAAGGTCTATTTTAAAAACAAACAAGTTGGGGCCGGAGCAATAGGACTATGGGGAAAGCATTTGCCTTGCACACAGTCCACCTGGGTTCGATCCCTGGCATCCCATATGGTCCCCTGAGCACCGCCAGGAGTGATTCTTGAGTGCAGAGCCAGGAGTAACCCCTGAGCATCGCCTGGTATAATCCAAAGAAATTAAAAAAAAAAAACCACCACGTCTATTTTGCTTGACGTCTGGGTTATAATCGGGCTTATATAACCAATGCTAACTTTAGAAAACCTCTGTTGCTGCAAGAAAAATCAATGTGGATTTCTGGTTATGTGATTTGAGAACTCTTGAGAAGCCAAGCTTAGATTTAGGATTGCTATTTCTACTCCTTGCTTGAGATTGCTGATATTGTTTGTGCTAGATTAAAAAAAAATACGAGAAATTATCTGGTTACCCCAAAATATCAAATAAAGAATTTTGAAACTTTTGTTGGTTATTCATTGGTAAATGCGTAATTTTAAATACTTTAAAATTCTATACTTCATAGGCCAAAGAGATATCTCAAGAAGCCGGAGCACATGCTTTGCTTGCAGATGTACTGGGTTTGATTCCAGGAAAGACATGGGGGCCTGAGCATTTCTGGGAGCACTGTTGGGAGCACTACTGGGAGCACTGTTGGGAGCAACTGAACACACTGAGCTGAACAGAAAGAGCCCCTGGGATCTTCAGGGTGTAACAGAGATACTAACTAACTAACTAAATCAAATACACTGCTCACTGCAGTGTGGCAATGAATACAACTGGCCAAAAGAAAGTTGATCAGGACCAATGTTGAGGTATGAATGTCTGTAGAGTAATAGTTTTTTCTAGAAGGCTATCATGGGGAAAAAACTATATACAAAGGGGTCACAGAGTCAGATCCATATGATATGAATATTCTCCGGTCTGCCATTTTTTAAATGCAACATTATGCCTTATCATTTTGTAGCTTGATAGCTCATCTCTTTTTATTGCTGAATTGAATTTGTTGCAAAAATGTGTTAGAGGTCATTCATTTACCTACTGAAGGACAGTTTGGTTGTTTCCATGCTTTAGTATTCATGAATAAAGCTGCTGCAAATATTCATGTGCAGACTTTCATAGTGGCCTACATTTCCAGATTATTTGGGTGTATTCCTAGAAGTGCAATTGTTTGATCACACAATAAACCTATGTTTAGCTTTCTAAGAAACTATCAGATTTTCTTCCAAAGTAGTCACATGATTTGACATTTCTACCAGCCGTGAAAGAAAAATCCTTGCTGTTAGACTTGCTTGTCCTTGTTTGTTTTAAAAGAGCACTTTATATGTGTAGGACATTTACTTTGTGTCTGTGTTGTGAGTCACAAATTCTTTTTTTCCACTTTTCTTTTGCCTTTGAACTTTGTTGAAATATTTCCTACTAGAGAATTGAAAAGAAAAGAAAACAGGGCTGGTGATCTAGCACAGTGGTTAAGGTGCTTGGTTTGCAATTCTGCCAAAGCAGATTTGATTCCCTGCATTCCATATGTTTCCATGAGGACCCTATGGATTTAGGCTACAGCCTAAATCCCCACACCAACCCTACAAAAGCTATGATTTTGAGTATTTGTGTTATACTTAGAAATATGGTTTGACTATCTAGAGAGTTTAAAATATTCTACCATAATTTAATATGGTGATTTTATATTTTAAATTTATATTTATGATTAGTTTATTATTTTTTCAAAGATACATGCTATTTTTCTAGATGGCCATTCATTCAATTATTTTCCTATAAATGGATGCGTATAAGACACTTCTTCCCTTTTTCCCCTGATTATTTGTGACTGCTCATTGTTGAATGATCTCTGAATTCTTTCGTAAAACACAAAATTTGAAGTATTATTCAGAGTACTAGTAGATTTATTTGTAAACATATGTTGATTTTATTAATAGCTCTCTGGTTTTGAATAAGTTGCTTGTTCATTTTGTGTTTACTCTATACATTTTCTATGTGGTTCATGGTTGCTTAACATTAATATGAACACAAAGTTCAGTAATCATGGCTATCATCGTTGATATTGTTATTGTGAAAATGAAAATTCTGCTTTCAGGAATACGGTCAAAGGAAAGAATTATCCACGAAATATATTTGTAACAACTTACCCATAAAGTGTAGAGTTATAGATCCTGCAAGATCCCTGCTTCCCCTGAGGATTGATAGACCACTTCAAACAAGACTTATCAATCAGAATCCCATAGTATATGGGTGCTGGAATCCCTCCTGTAATATAAGATAAGATGAAAATCCAAAGAAGAAATCTCAAGTACCTGTGATCGTCTTGCATTTAGATTATGTACAAGTTAAAAATGGTGAATGACTCTTCCAATGTTCTGTTCTAAACCCACTCAAGTCTCATGGTCCTTAGACATCTCAACGGGCAACTTTCTATCACAGAACAGATGTGTTTATCCAACCTCATTCTGTCAATGTGCATGGAAAAGAACATTATTCTTCTGCAAATTAAGCCTGGTTAGTTAAAAGAAAAATGATGTCAGTAAAACATGAATGTTGGGTTGTTTCGGATGTAATTATTTTAGCTGGGAGGGCTGAATAGTAAAAACACAAGTGGAGTCTTAGAGAGGAAGAAAAATGTTCTTGGTTAGCTGCTTCAAAGGCATTTTACAATAACATCATTTTAAAGAAAGTTCAGAGGTGAGACTCCCTCTGCAGAAAGCACGGGCTTAGCTTGGCCTTAGCTTCCCTGGTTTTCTGGCTGGCTGTCCCCTCGCTGGGTCCCACTGCTATCACTAGAGATCGGGATGTAATGCGTTCTCTCCACGGCACATGTGCAATTTCCATTCCTTTGGTAGCAACCTGGACCTTGCTGGCTAGGGATTCTGGAGCTGGATAATACTCCATTAAGGTTCTGATCACACACTGCCTAGGTCTTCAGTGGTCTGTGCATAATCTGATTTTTATCTTGCAGAGAGTGAGACCTTGTCAGGAGGACGGAATTGTCCTGGGGGAGAGGGGTTTTGCTCTCACTGCTATTTTAATAAACTCAGAGAGTGACTCCTAGTTCAAAGCATTGTGATTTGGTTAAAAGTTTAGGGGCATGTTGGTGGACATCTATATTTTGGATAATATTTTTGGATAGTAATTTTGGATAATACAAGGTCTGGGCTGTGGTTTCTTAACAAGCTCAGCCTGACCACCCTGGCAGGCCTCTCTGGAGCTTCTTCGGGCGGAACTCCCCTCAGAGAGGAAGAAAGGTCATCCAGGCTGCCCCCTTGGGAGGAAACAATCCCAAATTTCAAAGTGGAAAACATTGGCAGATGACTTGTTTTCTTGTTAGGAAGGGTGGACATCAAATCTGACGGTGTGGGTTGACTTCAACTAGAATTAGCCATTTTTTTTAAAGCTTGGTGGGTTTTATTTATTTTGCTTTTTGGGTCACACCCAGTGATGCTCAGGTTATTACTCCTAATTTTGCACTTTACAATCACTCCTGGCGGTGCTGGAGGACCATATGGGATGCTGGGGATCGAACCCTGGTCGGCTGTGTGCAAGGCAAACACCCTACCCGCTGTACTATTGCTCTAGCCCGGAATTAGCCAAATTTTATTGGGGGAGGGGAGGTTGGTGGCGTGGGGAGGGATTATTCAGTTTTCTTTTATCTCTTATTAGTTCTCATTTATGACATGAATATATATATATATATATATATATATATATATATTTTACCTTCTCTATGATTTTCCTTTGTACAATCAGTTCTGTATTGTGCCTGATCTAAAAGATTCCTTAGATTTTTTTTTCTCTTGGGAACAATGAGCTAAATGATGTTTTGTTTTAAGTAAATGCTTTAGATGAAAACACTTAGAATAGGAAACTAATTACCTTCCTTCTTTGAGGTTTGACTTGAATACTTACATCTTTTTTGAGGGGGTCACACCTGGTGATGCTCAGGGGTTACTTCTTTCTGCTCAGGGGTTAATTCTGACTTTGTGCTCAGGAATTACACCTGGTGGTGCTCAGGGGACCATATGGGATGCCGGGGATCAAACCCAGGTTAGTCATTTGCAAAGCAAATGCACTCCTGCTGTACTATCACTTTGACCCTGAATACTTACATCTTGAACTTATAATCAACATATGCAGCATACCTAGCACTCGTATAATGAGTGATTGGAAACCCACTGCCAGGGACTTCAATTCAGGCTGAACATTTCTAAAATAAGAGAAAGACAAAGAAACTTATGACGCATCTTGAAAATACCAAACTGACTTTAATATTAAAACATTTTTCAGTGCTGGGGCTGGAGCAATAACACAGCAGGTAGGACGCTTGCCTTGCACGCGGCCGACCCTGGGTTAAATTCCCAGTATCCCATATGGTCTCCCAAGCACCGCCAGGAGTAATTCCTGAGTACATGAGCCAAGAGCCAGGAGTAAGCCCTGTGCATCGCTGGGTGTGACCCAAAAAGCAACAAAACAAAACAAAAGAAAAACAAACCCCCAAAACATTTTTTCAGTGCCACTATTCTTCATGATGGAATGAACCCCCTCAAATGGATAGTTGACATTCTGGCCCTGGCCCTCCCGTTGATGGTCGATTTTGCTCGAGCGGGCCCAGTAACGTCTCCATTGGAGACTTTGTTGTTATTGTGTCTGGCATATCGAATACTCTCGGTAGCTTGCCGGGCTCTCTGAGAGGGGCGGAGGAATCGAACTCGGGTCGGCCATGTTGGCCGCTTATTTAAAATTATATTTTTAGCTGTTTTAAAAGGCAGACATTAAAATGATTAATAATCAGAATTATACCGCTCTATAGGAAATCCTATGAGATAGTAGTTAAAACAAATTACAGAAGAAGTGAATTTTATGTGGCCACACAGGTCCTATGTGCAAATACTTTGATCTAAGTATCCATTTGAGTAGATATTTTATCACCTGATTTCTGTTATATTTCTGCTATTAATAGAAAGTTGGCTAATATGATTAATAAACTATATCCTATATGGCAGGACTAAGAATGATGTCACTGATCTGTTATCCCTGGTTCTAAATACTAGTTTTCAGGTATCAAGGACATTAACAGTCCCTCACAGAGTCTCTCACACCTGTATTCAGAAAACTGTTTCCACAATTCCATGTTCAGTGAAGTGACAACTCTGTATCACTTCATATCCCAACACATTTTCTAATAAATGAATTATCTGGCAGTGGTGGTGGGTGGGAGAAAGTGACAGTGGTTCAAAATTCTATTTTTCTGGAAATAAGAAGGAAACTAATACAAAGGGTTTTTTCTTGGACACTTGGACTGTTCATAGGGATAAATAGATGTAGTCATTGTACCACCATTTGTTAACCTCCTAGAAGATTCCTTTGGTGTTTTTTTCTCTTGGGAACAATGAACTCAATGATGTTTTGTTCAACAGAATAGTTTAGATTAAATCATTGAAACTCTCAACCTCAATTTTCTAATCCATCAAGTGGGGATGAAAAGGCCCAGCCCATCCTATAAGAATTTAACATAAAGAACTGCAGCCATAAAAACCCATATTTTCTTTATACAAAATTACTCCTGGAGCGATAGCACAGCGGGTAGGGCGTTCGCCTTACACGCGGCCAACATGGCCGACCCGAGTTCGATTCCTCTGCCCCTCTCAGAGAGCCCGGCAAGCTACCGAAAGTATTCGATATGCCAGACACAGTAACAACAAAGTCTCCAATGGAGACGTTACTGGGCCCGCTCGAGCAAATTGACGATCAACGGGAGGGCCTTTACCTTTACCTTTACTCCTGATGTAGAAGAGCTACCACAGCGTATCATTCTCAAAGAATGCAGAAAGCTCGTATATTTAAACAAGGTCGGAGGCCACAAACAGCTCAAATGGTAAAGCACATGCAGAACACAGGCAAGGCTCTGAGCTCAACCCAGAACTACATTGGCCCCTGAGTCGAAGCATCACAGGGTATAACCCTCAGCATTCCCCCCCTCACCAACCCTGCATTGCTGGGCCCAGGTAGTCTTGAGCTGCACACTTTGACCTTCACACTGAACCACTGGCCCAGCTGGCTGAGAATCATCATGAGAATTCCCTGGGCATCCCAGGCATCTCTTGGAGGGCTCCCAACACCAACACAAAAAAAAAGACAGAATAGCGATGAATTGAGAAGAAATGAATGAAAATGTCTGAGCTCTGTTTTTGCAAAGGATACTCTCCCACTGGTTGGGCTGGGGACAGTGCTGGGTGACAGTGGAACCCAAGTTCCAAGGAGGAGAACTTATGCTCACGGAGGTGGCTTCCTTCCATGGAGGTGGTTTCCTTTCAGCTCAGTCCAGAATGAGAGGAAGTTCACTACAGGTCTGCTAAACTGTCCTTTTTTAAACACCAGCATTATAAGTGGTACTTTTGGGAGAAGAGATAACTTAATCTGCTCCTGGCCAAATTCTCTGCCACAGGGATACTAAGCGTCACTTGCTGCCTCTGTTACTCATATTTAAAGGGAGCATTTGGTTTACATGCTAAGTCGGTAGAAGAAAAATGTCTTCCTGAAAGGGAGTGTGACATCTTAGACAACTCAGTGGGAGGGACCTATTTATGTGATTCCATTATGTAATACACACAGATGTGACAACCATACACACTTACAAACTCACACTAACTACCCACACAACTCTTACGTGTGCCTGTCACACACACACACACGTATTAGTCTCATGAAAAGTGCTAATTAGTTCCTGTCTCACATCTGGTAATGATCAACTCTGTACTCTGAAGAACTCTCTCAGGATGAGTCTCTTTAGAGAGTTAACCCAGAGAAACTAAACATTACTTTTTTTTTTTTATTCTTACTATTTATTTATTTTTTTTTAATTTTTTTTTATTAGTGAAAACCATGAGGTACAGTTATAGGCTTACAAATTTTGTGCTTGGGATTCAGTTATACAATGATCAAGTCCCCATACCTCCACCAGTGCCCGTCATCCATCCCCATGGGACATTACTTTTGTCTAGTTAACTATTGAAGAATGTTTCATCAACATTGCACTCTTCATTGGAATTGATCCTCTGTGATTTTCCAACCGATTATCAAATCTCTAGATTCAGATCGACCTAATCAAATTCTGGACCTAGACAGGACAGGTGGGGAATGCGTAAACAGTTTGGAATTCATAGCCTAGCTGATTCAATCATTTAAATGGAAATCTGAAAAAATGTGCTCAACTCTGCCCTCACTTGAGCCATTTAGAATGGATGTATTGTTGGTCCTAAGTTCGATAGATGGTGATGCTCTGAGGTCACCAGCAGAAGTCAGAATTCAAGAGTATCTCAGGACTCCAAGGCATCTACCCTCACTCCCTTTCCTCTCTGGTGTAAAAGTACCTTAATTCACACCTAGGGCTTCACTCCTTTCTGGTCAAACTCTTCCACTATGATCCCAGTCATTCATCGTCTGGGACCAGCACTAGATCTTACCTTCCTTACCTGCCTTCACTTTAAATCCAGCATTTCTCAATATGGGATGGGGGGAGGTGGGGATTGGGCCTCCGTAGGCCTCCAGGATCTTTTAAGGGAGACACAGGGGGACATTCTAAAAAAGGGAAAGGGACACATCTTGAGATTAGGGAATCTACTGGTAGAATTGGGGGGGGGGGGGAGAATGGGGGGAAAGAAACCCAAGGACACAGCAAAGCTTGAAAAGGTTCATGGCTGAAAAAAGATTGAGACACGGGGTTAACCAAAGCCTGGCTCAGCCCCTTTCTCATGAATGTCCCTCCACACAACAGTAAGGAAGGCTTATTCTCTCTGATATCACATCCCTCTACTAGTTCCAGACCTAAGAGCCTCCTCTGGAAGCCTTCTCTTTCTCCTCACAGGGCGGGCCAATATGGCACACTATTCCCTCACCTCCTGGCCACAGTGTTGATAGAGTCAATCCCCCCTCACCATCCCCATTACTCTTGGATGATTTAGTACTAGACTATCTGTCATTTGTCCCCTTCCCCCAGTGTTTTCCTGCCTCTTTTCCTAGTTATTTTAATACCCATGTAGGCTATCCCCCCAATGCTCTAAACCTCCTGACTTCCAGGTCCCTTCCTTTCCTTTCCTTTCCTTTCCTTTCCTTTCCTTTCCTTTCCTTTCCTTTCCTTTCCTTTCCTTTCCTTTCCTTTCCTTTCCTTTCCTTTCCTTTCCTTTCCTTTCCTTTTATTTCTGCCACATTGGCCATACTTAGGGCTTACTCCTGGCTCTGCACTCAGGGATCACTCCTGGTGGGGCTCAGGGGACAATATGGGGTGCCAGGGATTGAGCCTGCATTAACTGCATGCAAGACAAACACCCTACCCACTGTACTGCAAACCTGCATTCACCCAGCCATCTGCTTTTACCACACTGCCGTGCTAAAGAGGAGATGATCCAACATGCTATGCCTGAGTTGATTTTCAATTTATGACATAAAGCTCCGAGGGCCACCGGAACACCCCAAGGTCTGTTAACCATCCACTTCCCCCGTTTATTCCATCCATCTTGGAGATGCTGCATTCCCACAGCTGGTCTCACCTGAAGTCCCTTTCTTCCTTCTGACCCTCAGCTGACTGTCTCACCTTTTATTTCACAGAGAAAGGGGTAAGTGATAGGAGACTTCACTAGAGCAGCTACGTAGTTTTTTTTACGGAGGGAGAGGGAGAGTCTACGCCTTTGGTGGTCTCCTCCTTATTTTCCTTTGTAACTGTCTCCCTTCTTATGGCCACATCCCCTTCTTTGTATCTACCTGGCAAATCTCTGCACACAAATGTGTGTCAAATTTAATAGGACGATAACTAGAAGTCATGAGGCTATAGCTTTCCTAGTTCTCTCATGGTACTGCCTCCAAGATCTTTCTATACATTCCCCCTGGTATTCCTCTCCCTCCCACTGGTCCTCTGCCAAGCAGCCTGATTTCGTGCCCTCTTCCATCAGTTCACTTGTGAAGGCTCACAGTGATCAATCCTGAATGAAGCCTGACTGCCACTGCCTTGCCTTAGCTTCCATGAGCTCTCAGTCTCAATCCTTTGCCACACCACCGTCTCGGAACTCTGGGGGCACCTTCCTCTCTTCACATCCCATCCAGCTAGGCTGTGGAGCAGAAGACAACCCACCAGTGATAGAACTGGAGGGCGATGGAGTTCAAGGGTCATTCTGATGAAGGATGCTTCCTTTCTCACCAGAAGTCTGCTCAAGCTCTGAGCACTGCATGGAAAACTTCACATTAAACCTGTGGCATGCTGAACCTTGCACTGCATTTTTCTGGGGAAGTCGGGCCCTTCTGCAGATGGAACTGTTCAGATGTTCCTGGCAGGGGAAGAGTTAGCCTGGAGACCACTTCCTTTAAATAGACCACACAGATTGCAAAAAGGCATTGAAACGGGATGATGACCTTCAAGAACGTGTTGTGAGACCAGCCACCCACTGCTGTGTTGGTGGAGTCCTGACATTCCCCGCCCAGCCCAACCCAGCTTTCAGCTCATTCCTGTGCTGAGTGGTTTTCTTTCTGTCATAACTATTCTTGCAGGAGGGAGGCTTCAGGGAAGGGGAGAGGGGCCCTAGAAGCGGAATCTCATTGTTGTACCGAGTTGGTGGAGATGTTAACCACTCAGGAGGAAACAAAGTTTAAAAATGCCATTTGTATTTAAAATGCTTATAGAAAAATTGTAAAAATATAATAACAGGGAGGCTGGATTGAAACCACAGCGAATAGGGCGTTTGCCTTGCACGTGGTCAACCCAGGTTCGATTCCCAACATCCCATATAGTCCTCTGAGCACTGCCAGGAGTAATTCCTGAGTGTAGAGCCAGGATAACCCCTGTGTATCGCCAGGTATGACCCAAAAAGCAAAATACATATATATATATGTATATAATAATGGATTCCTTATTTGTTCCTTTTACCCAGATTTATAGGCATTGTATTTCCCTGGTATTGTTGTGCCTTTTCTATATACTTATTCTGATTGATTTTTCTTTTTTAAAGTATATATATATATGTTACTTTTTTTTCTTAAATTTTTATTAGTGAAACACCATGAGGTACAGTTGTAGACTTACAAATTTTTGTGCTTGGGTTTCAGTTATACAATGATCAAGTACCCATCCCTCCACCAGTGCCCATTCTCCACCACCACCAGTCCCAGTATCCCTCCCACCCCCATTCCCCCCATCCCACCCTACCTCTGTGGCAGAACATTCCCTTTTGTTATCTTTCTCCTTTTGAGTGCTGTGGTTTGCAAAAGAGACATTGAGTGGCAATCTTGTTCGGTCTATAGTCTACTCTCATCAGCATTTCCCATCCTGAGAGGAACCTCCCATCACCTGTTATTTGGTGCTCCCTTCTCTATCTGAGCTGCCTTTTCCCCTAGCATCTGCGGCTGTCCTCAAAGCCATGGAGTAATCCTCCTGGTACTTATCTTGGCTATTCTAGGGTGTTAGTCTCCTATTATGTTACCCTATGTTCCCCAGATGAATGAAGTATTTCTATGTCTATCCCTCTCTTTCTGACTCATTTCGCTTAGCATGATACTTTCCATGTAGTACCACTTGTATATGAATTTCATGACTTCATCTTTTATAACAGCTGCATAGTACTCCATTGTGTAGATGTACCAAAGTTTCTTTAACTATATATTACTTTTTGGGTCACACCCAATGTCGCTCAGTGATTACTCCTGGCTTTGCACTCAGGAATCACTCCTGGCAATGCTGGGGGACCAAATGAGATGTTGGGGATCGGACTCGGGTTGACTGCATGCAATACAAATGCCCTACCCGCTGTGCTATTGCTCCAGCCCCGCTGGTACTATTTTCAACACATGCTGACTTGTTCATTTTTTCTGTCTCCTCCATTCTCACTTTCACTAGAGAATAATGAAAGGAAGACGGTTGCTTTGCTTCATGGCCAGTGATCATACATGCAAAGTGTGTCCTTTGTCCCTAAACTACATCCCCAGCCCATAAAAAGAGCTTTTAGCAGTTTGGTTCTGTCCTTAGAGCCTTCTGGTATGCTAGAGACACATGACAAATGCATATTAATTTGCATCTATTTACTTTCGGAGCGGGGGCCATACTTAGTGGTATTTGGGAGCTACACTGGACTTTATGTTAGGGGTCAGTGCCAGCAGTGACCGATACACACAATAAAAATATTTCAGATCAGTGAATCTGATCACTTGTGTTTATTTAGTTTTAACAACAACCAAATGATATAAGTGCAGAAAAAACATAAAGAGACTAAAGTTTCTATTTTTTTATCCTATGCTAGACTTTGCCAAAGTTTCCTTTCAATATAAGCAAAAAGTACTGAGAGGTGAGTGAATGCTTTGTCAATAACAATGCTGATCGTAGGACAATTAAATATAGCTACTGTGTCAGTGAGCCACAAAGCTCTCTTTCTTCCTCCTCGTGGGAGATTCTAGAAACAATAGCTGATGGGTGTTGAGCTAGTGTGGAATACCAAGAAAACTTCTTGTAAATTAGCAAATCTGCAATTCAGTAACTGTGGAAGTTTCCCTCTTCAGAGCAAACAACATTTACCTTAAGGTAGAGTTCTCTCCGTGGAAGTAATAGTACACATAATTTGGCAACATAAATGGGACAAGATTTGAGATCAGGGTTGAATATAAACAACTCTGGACTTAGTTTATAGATCTACAATCATTCAAACAAAATGAGTTTTGTTCCCTTTCTGGCTGGCAATACATGTTACCACACTTAAAGTAATTTTATATTTTCCAGCTTAGGTAACTGAGTAATCCCTTTGATACAATATGGCTTGTAGTGTCTGCTATCTTTCTCACACACCAATTTACTGAAATCTCTCAGTATCGTCCAATAAACTCTCTTCCATTCCTCCAAATTTCAATTCTCTTCTGCCTTGAGGCACTGTCTACTGTGTCTCACTCCCAGTAAAGTTCTCTGTGTGACTGACTCCCCTGCCACAGACCTTTACATTAAATGCTATTTTTTTTTGAGAAGCACTCTTTGAGTTCCCCTCTGTAAAACTCGATGCTTAAATCTGAAAGACATCTCCCTTTCATTTGTCTTCAAGCATTCATGTTTCCTTACAATTACTAATGACAATTTGTGTGTTGATTTTATTTTTGTGTGTGTGTGATGTGTGTGTGTGTGTGGGGGGGGTGGATATCTAAAGGTGCTCCAGGTAAGGTTTACTCTTGTTCTGTGGTCAGGGATGTTTCCTAGAAGTGTCTGGGATGGAATGTGGTGCTGGGGATTGAACTGGGATGGGCTGCGTACAAAACAAATGCCTTATCTTGTGTTATTTCTCAGACACCTTGCTGGCTTACTTTTTTTCAGTTAATTTGTTTTTTTGTCAGTGTTTCCTGTCATTTCTAAGCTATCTGAAACCAGGTATTTTATCTGTTTTATCATCATGGAATATTCTGCATCAAGGATTACCATAATTTTCCTAAGTGAGAAAAATTAATTTTGTTCATGTACGTTAGTCTTTAAAGGCTTTGTGACCACTTAGAACGAAAATCAGTCTGAGGTGGATTAAAAGCTCCAAAAGGTCATAGGCAGAAGTTAAGGCTATGTGTAGTCTGACTCCCAAATGTCAGATTCCAAAGAAATTAATAGAAGATTCACTCTGGTAGGCCCATCTCAAAATTGTTGTTTTCACACAATACAGGGATTCTCTTAAGACTGAGGGTTCGAAGTTCAACTGTCAACTAGTTTTCTTAAAATTCATAGTGAGCGGTAAAATATGAACCCTTAATTTCATAATGGAATAGAAGAATTAAAGATAAAAGCATTGTCCACTATTATATACAAGTATTATCAAAACCTAAGAAAATTAAAATGTAACAAAATGTGAATTAGGGTTCTAAATATATTATAAAAATATATAGATCATTAAGTATAGTCTAAAATATAAATACTTTTCAAAGCTCATACTTACTTAAAAAACATCATGAGAATTGAGACATGTCCCAGTGAAGAGAAGAAGTGGATGAGACTTTGGACTGCTACATACAAATAAAATTTTCTTTTACACTGATAATCTCTTGGACATTCTCCCAAATGTGCTGAGTTATTCCCATTTTTAAAACCAGCTTCTTCTATACAACTACAGTTATGAAGTACCTAGAAGATAATGTTTGAAAGATTGTGTTTGCAGATTGTGTTTGCAAAGTACAACCAAACTATAAGTAAATTCTTTTGTAGTTAAAGACTTAGCCCTCATCACTGTAAATGAATTCCATAATAGTCTTATACAGTCAAGTTGAAAATTTTAAAATGAAATTTCAGGGACACTTTTGAAGGAAGAAAACCGAAAAGAAAACATTCTAAAAACAATGTTGTTTAATGATTGCAAAGCAAAAGCTGCCTGGATTACTTTTTTCTGGACAAGAAAATGTAATTCTTTCATGCTTAATATTTAATTCATTCCCAATTTAAACTTTAATAAAAAAGAATAAATTATGATCTGAAATTATGCATAAAATTTTCTTGTTAATATTCATTCTTCGTAATGCTTTTCTCCTACTCACTTTTATTTTCTGTAACATATCTACTTACTCTCTTTAATGTTTTTGACAAGTGTTAGGGACATTCCCTTACATGACGTACCCATAAATTCAGAAAATAACATAATTTTGGGAGGCATCAAAGCCTGATATTAAACCTACTCATTGGAATGGAAGAGGGTGAAGCAGAAATAGGGCCAGGTGTTGAATATAGTTTTACTTTAAGTAGAATATCCATGAGCATAATGATAAATTACAGAACAGATAATGTAATTATTTGGAAGGAAACAACCCAATATCCCCTGAGTGTTAGAACATAAGGGACACTTAGGAACGATTAATTTTAGAGGTTTAATTCAGCAGATTGTTTAAAAAATGATTACCAATAGTCAATTCTGTTCTGAATCTAGGCTAAACTGAGGTATAAGGGAAGTTCATTGGGAACCAATTAATGATAAAGACTAATAACTGAAGGGAAAACTAAGAAAGCCTTTGGATAGACACTTTTTGACTACCTAGTTCTTTTCACTAGGGAATAGTGCATTGTAATCTTTTATGCATCAAGTCTATTGGCCAATAAAACCCAACTTAAGTACAGAAAACATTATGAATGATTAAAAAGGTACGATTTATTGGGGAAAGGATTGGGAAAAGATCTCCCCACTGGCCCTCAAATCACATAGTGATTTGCAAAATTAAGAAGATGACTCCAGGAACTGTGTTGGAAGAGAAACTCCATTTGGTCTGCTTTGAAGTGCCACACTAACCCCTGGGCTCAGGCCTGTGTAGATGTGTTAGGAGAAAAGCCCCTTTTGGTCTTTCTTGAAATGTAACACTAATCCCTGGGTTTAGTGTGCAGATTGTTGGGAAAGTAACACCTTTTGGTCAGCTTTGTAGGGAAGCCGGTCGCAATGCATACCACAGTTCAATGTTACCTGGGGACAGGATGTTTCTGGCAAATGCTCCGTGAAGGTGTGACCCTATCTACAGAAGACATGTTCGTTCTGATCTTCCTGTGTATGTGACCAGTTGCACTCTCTCACCACCAACCTATATAAAGGCTTGATGTCTTTCAATAAAGTGGATCTGCTTTACAGAACCCCCACCGTGCTCGTGTGCTTAGTTCTCCTTCCTTGGAGGAGACGGTGGCAAGGTTTGCTCTTTTCCTCGGACCCCTCCCCATAGCTGGAGGGAAGTTCGGCCCTGTCCTCAGGATCCTGAGCAGTGGCCCCTTGCTGGACGAGTGAGTACACTGAACAGACACCTGGAGAAGACCCCAACAGAACTGGAGAGCTAGTACAGCAGGAACAGTGCTTGTCTTGCATGAGGTCAATCTGGGTTTGATCCCTGACACCACATACAGTCCCCTGAGCACCACCGAAAGTAACGCTTGAGGGCAGAGTCAGGAATAAGCCCTGAGCATAGCTGAGTGTAGCCCCTAAAATAAACAGCAAAAGAAAAAAAGAAAAAGAAAAAGAAAATGGCTCCATGTTAATCAGAACTTTCATTAGGATTCAAACATTTTTATCTCTTTCAGTATTAAAAGGGAAAATGGGATCAGAGTTTAATGTGAACACTCAGTAAAAATCATCGTAGCTGTGAATCACGGAGTGAAGGTTGTTAAGTATAGCCTGTGAATTACTTTTGTGCAAGTTTATGAAAATTACAATTAGTAGAACGAAGGGTAAGAAAATGACAGAAAAGTGTAAAACTCAAAGAAAGGCAGGATAAAGAGAAATAATTATAGCTGATTATCTTTCTAATGTTGGTCATAGATAAGGGTTAAGAAAAAGGTACCCGCAATATGAGAGACCCAGTGCACCGGAAGTGAGTTGTAGACTAAGATACTGTAAAAAAAAATCCAGGGGAGTGGGGAAGAATCCAAACTTTGCATGAACACAAGTGTTTTGAGTTAGGGGGTGGGTAGATAGAATTTATATGGGATCTGTTGGCAGTGGGGGAGCAGGATATTCCGTAGAAATGTCAGCCTTAGGGATATCAAAACTTAAAGACAAAGACTAGACAGTGAAATGGGGAAGAAACCCTTTGGGTTTATTGGAAAATAAAAAGGACGGTGAGCTCAGATGTAGTTTCATCAGAACTGACATATAAATGATTGTCCTGGAGAGGCAGAAGGTGATTCAAGGTGCTCTCTCAGGACTTGCCCCAAATTTTTGAAAAGTGCTAGAAATCATATCCTATCATAAAAAACGTGCTTTCTAAAGATCCTAAATACACTTATATTAAAAAAAAAGATATTATTCGTGGGGCTCTGTTATATCACAAAGATAATATAGGTGTTAGGGCGCTTCTCTTTCACACAACTGTTTTTAGTCCAATTCCTGCACTAAATATAGTCCCCTGAGCACCACCAGGAGTGATCTCTAAGCTGATAGTCAGGAGTAAGCATCATCAGTGTGGCCCATAAACAAAAACAAAGATCTATTCTTATTAACACTTCAGGGAAAAAATGAGCACTTTCCAATGAGAATTTAAACAACAATAACAACAAAACTTTTTTGTCAGCTGAGAAGAAAGGATTTTATTTGAGGCTTTACTTGGGTGATCCTGCACTCATCACAATGACAAATATCCAGAATCCTTTGCCTATTTTTTCACTGAAGATCAGAGAAAGATTCAATAACATATTGCCATCCAATCAGCAACTTTGGTTAGATAAGGAAGAGAATGTAAAACCCAATACTCACTGTCGACTTTGCTTGGCCACTTGAAGACTTACATCCTGCCAGACAAGGTGAGACATACGTTATTCCGTTGCTCCCACATATGGGTTCCCACTGACTCTGATCACAATTGCAGTCTGAGTTGCAATAAGAGAGTGGTACATTTATATGAGAAGCCACTGGATTATTTCTGAAAATATATGATAGAGATGTATCAAAAAGAGGGAAAGCGGGAAGGAGGGAAAAAAGGGAGAGAAGAGCAGTGAGAGTTGAGAGAGAGGAAGAGGAGGAAAAGAGGAAAGGAGGAGACAGAGAAAGAAGAGAAGAGGGAAGCAGAGAAATGGAGGATGCACAAGAGGAGGAAAGAAGGGACACAGGTAAGGAAAAGTGGAGAGGAGGAGAGGAAATGGAGGAGAGAATTAGAAAGAAGGGAGAGTAATACGACGAAGGGTTATTCTTTAATTAGAGAAATGCGATGAACAGTGATACCAAACCCATTTTTATTTAGTACTCATAAACTTTTTCACTTTCCTTTTTTTTACTATGATGTGATTTATGACTTAGAAAAAAGAAAAACTTAAAAAAGAGAAAATGAAGATGGTGTATAAAACTTAGATATTTTTGTGCATCTATCAATAAATTTCTGTATTTATTTAAATACGGCTGAGTCTGGCAAACTCCCCGTGGCGTACCCAATATGCCAAATACCAGTAATAATGATGGGTCTCATTCTCCTAACCCTGAAAGAGCCTTGAATATGGCACTTTTTCAAATCTCAGGGCTAGGGCGAAGGAGACGTTACTGGGGCCTGCTCAAGGCAATCGACGAACAACAGGATGGTTGTGATCTTGTGATCAATAAATAGTCTACAAGACAAGTCATTATTTTTCTGGGCCTTGGTTTCTCTTCAGTAATGACTTTAGATCGAAGTTTTTCTCTCACCCCTTTCACTCATCTTTGAATTTTCCTTAGTGAAGATGAATTTTTAAAGCTATATTTTAACTGCATAAAAGAGAACTTGACATGGTCAAAGATGTATCCCTCAGGATGAGTTTTTTAAAAAGCAAAATGAATGTTAATAGGAAAGCTTCACCTATTTTAAAATTTAAGTATCACATGGTTTATAATGATTTACTAGAAAATATACTGACCTTTAGCAAATAAAGACAGAGATGATGGTTAATATTAAGAGATATATTGTTTTTGTAATCGATTTTTTTTATAAATTAAAAATGATTCTGAGCTGTCATGGGCATGCTTGGCTGGAAGGGTCTTTGGGGACATTGGTGGCCAGAAGGAAAGGCTCTGGTGATGATGAATGGGTGTTGGAATGATGCATGTATGTCAAGTATAATTAACAGTATTGTAAATACTTATGCAGCACTGCACTGTCCTTCCGTTGTTCATCAATTTGCTCGAGCGGTCCCAGTAACGTCTCCATTGTGAGAATTGTTGTTACTGTATTTGGCATATCAAATACTTCACAGGTAGCTTGCCAGGCTTTGCCATGTGGCTCTCCGAGAGGGGCGGAGGAATTGAACCTGGGCCGACCGGGTTGGTCGCGTGCAAGGCAAACACCCTACCCACTGTGCTACTGCTCCAGCACTAATATAATACATAGAATGCTAAAAATCATCTACTATAAAATAATACAGAATATGTTGAAAAGTCTGAGAAATTGTTTAGATCCAGAGGAAAATCTGTATTCTTTTATTAAAAATCTATTCCACTGATCAAAATTTCATAAATGCTGAATTTAATGATTGATATCTGCAATCATTAAACCATGACTTTCTTTCTTTCTTTCTTTCTTTCTTTCTTTCTTTCTTTCTTACTTTCTTTTTTGCTTTTTGGGTCACACCCGCCGATGTACAGGGGTTAACTCCTGGCTCATGCACTCAGGAGTTACTCCTGGTGGTGCTCAGGGGACCATATGGGATGCTGGGAATCAAACCCAGGTCGACCACATGCAAGGCAAAAGCCCTACCCATTGTGTTATCGCTCCAGCCCCAAACCATGACTTTTGTAAGTGAGTTGATCTAAACTCTAAATCTTCACATCTAAGGAAGCTCTAAGATTTTGTTGAATGTTAAGCTACTCATGGTGTATTTGATATGCCAAAAACAGTAACAACAAGTCTCAGAGTTTGTTGTGAGACGTTACTGGTACCCACTGGAGCAAATTGATGAACAACGGGAGGACAGTGCTATAGTGCTAGTTTAACAAAAGTCCCATAGAACTCTAGCTGCGTTCTTTTGAGGGGATTGTACCATTGCTCAATTTGTTTTTCAGAACTACCTGGAACTCAGGCTGCCTTCTTTTGAATAGATTGTATCATTGCTCTATTTGTTGTTAAGAATGACCTTTAAACTATACCTGTACTGACAACCAGAGGGCCCTGGGACCCTGGGAACTTATTCTTTGGTGTAGCTCAGTTTGGAGTCATTGGATGACTTCACGCCAGCCAAAATTTCACTGGGTCTCAACTGATAGAGAAGACATATATTGAACTGTGAGATCTTTTTTTTTTTTTTTCACCTCGCAAGTGCAATATTCTAGGAGCTCTATGTTTTGACAAACCGCACTAGGTGACAGTGTTTAGGAATAACCTGTCACAATCAAGACTAAAAGGAAACAAATAAATGAGCTGGAAAATCTCCAAGAAAAAGATATGCTTTTAAAAGAAATGCAGGAAGATCTGACAAATTAAAATCGGCATCTCGGGACCCAAAGTTTAGCAACTCCAGAGTCCACATTAAATGGCTCTAAGGCTGCTACATACTGAACGGTCATGCACAGATCTTTCCCTCTTGCTTTGACATGGCCTTTAAGTGTATGTCCTCAGACATATTAAGGAAAGAGTGATAAATCTACATAGGGCTCTTTCCTTGCTTTAGGGAAGGGACAATAATTTAGAAATACTTCACCAAGTGAAGTTGTTTTTTTGTTTGTTTGTTTGTTTTTTGCTTTTTGGGTCACACCCAGCGATACACAGGGGTTACTCCTGGCTCTGCACTCAGAAATTACTCCTGGCAGTGCTTGGGAGACCATATGGGATGCTGGGAATTGAACCTGGGTTGGCCGTGTGCAAGGCAAACGCCCTACCGACTGTGCTATCACTCTAGCCCCATGTTTTTTTTTTTTAAAGGGACTGATATCCAATTATATATAGTATATTTATTAATCCTACTTCTAAAGAAGACAATACTGGAAGAAACAATATTAGAAAAGAAGCAGCAGAAAAAGAGAATTCAGTTAAGGTTAAGGAAGTATTTTCTTATGTAATTATTAAATATCAAAATTGATTGTAGATAGATGCTATTAAGGAACTTGGAACATTTTATTTACATACCTCCCATGATCTCTTCACTAGTTTAGTGATTAGGACAGGGTGTTTCAAAGTAAAAAGCTTCAAATTTAAGTCAGAATCTTAACCTTATTAGTCATGAAATATGTGTATCTCTTTACACTTGCTTTTCTGTTTATAACATGGACATAAAAGTTGTCACTTATTTATATACATAGCCACTGATGATGACTATTTCTATTTCAATTTATGTAGCTTTTCTTTAAAGAAAGAATTTAAGGAGAGCTTTTGAGGTCTCAAGAAATCAACATTTCAATCATTTGAAACTTAAAATTTCTCTCTTGAAAGTTACTTAAAATTGTCGTCTGTCCTCTTTTCTTAAGAGCATTTTTGCTTTCCACTCTTGGTGCATTTTGGCAATGAATACACTAATGTATACAAACCCATCATAGGTCAAGGTGAGACCAGCAATAGATTTTTTTTCACAGAGTAGTGCAAAGTTTGATAGGTACAATATGAAGGCCACAGTGCTGGTAAAAAGTGAGAATTTGGCGTTTCCAATCAAGGTAAATTTGAATCTTTTAATGATGTATCCTCCTAGAAACATCCCAGATGCAACAGCTGGTAAGCTTATGATTCCTAGAAATAAAAGAAAAGTTGCAATTAAATAAAGATGGTGGTTAAATGATCTCTACATACTCATGGCTGGAGCGATAGCACAGCGGTAGGGCGTTTGCCTTGCACACAGCAAACATGGCTGACCCGAGTTCGATTCCTCCGCCCCTCTCGGAGAGCCCGGCAAGCTACCGAGAGGATCTCGCCCGCACGGCAGAGCCTGGCAAGCTCCCCGTGACGTATTCGATATGCCAGACACAGTAACAACAAAGTCTCCAATGGAGACGTTACTGGGCCCGCTTGAGCAAATCGATGATCAACGGGAGGGCCTTTACTTTACTTTACTTTACATACTCATCAGAGCATATCACTAAAATCCACCCAATCATGCTTCTGAAGTAAAATCTTAGCAGGGGACCAAAGTACTAAATAAGAGACAAAAGTCATTTCTTCTTTTCAATACTGGGGTTAAGTCTTTACAAAATTCAGTAATTGATCTTTGTATATATCTAAACAAATGGTTTCTATGGGCATATTTTCCCACTGAAAAACAAACAAAAATCACCATGCCTAATCCTCTCACCTAAAGTGACTTACTTCTCAAAATGAAGAGTTCTAATACTTAAATTGAATTTCTGTGAAATGAATCCTTACAAAGCTGTTTATGATTAAATTTCGGTCATACAGTATTCCAACACTCATCCTTCCATTAGTATACATTTCCTACCACCAGTGTCCCCAGGTTTCCTCCCATCACCCCCCCAAACCCCTTCCTGCCTCTATGGCAGGGGCTTTTCTTCTCTCTCTACCTCTGTCTCTGTCTCTCTCTCTTTCTCTCACTTTATGATTCTCTCTCTCTCCTTTTGGGCATTGTGGTTTGCAATATTGATACTGAAAAGTAATCAAGAATATCCCTTTACCTACTTTCAACACTCAGATCTTATCCAGAGTGATTATTTTCAGCTATTTATTGTCTTACTGGTCTCTTCTATATCTTATCTACACTCTACCCCCCCCGCCCCCAACATCGTGGTTGATTCCAACCATTGACCAGTCCTCCTAGCCCCTGCTTTCCCTGGCGATGGACATTAGTCTTCTACTACATGCTTTTCATAGACCACAAATGAATGCAATAATTCTATATCTGTCCCTCGCATTCTGACTCATTTCACCCAGCATGATTAAGAATTCTAATACTTAAAAACCTCAATGCATAGGATTGGAGAGACAATAAAATGAGTAGGGCACTTGCCTGGCATGCATTAACTCTGGTTTGCTCCTTGGCACTCCATGTGGCTCCTTGAGCTTGACAGGAGAGATCACTGGGCATGAGCCAGGAATCATCCCTGAGCATAGCTGGGTCTGATCCCCAAACCAGGAAACAAACTACAATAACTAACCCTCACTCCAAATTCTTCTAGTACTTTAGAAATTAATACTTACATTACATTCGTTTTGTAATTATATACATACACATATGTACCCTGCGATGGTAAACAGACATACATAAAGTATAAAGAATGACTGCAATCTTTTATTAAAAATTAATAACTTTTTAATTTTAATGCCCTGCAAAATTTATTACAGATAAAAGCCTCTCTAATCAAAGTATCCAGTTACTAGGAACCTTAATGGGAATCAAATTTAGCTTTAAGTTTAAATTGTGTGTGTGTGTGTGTGTGTGTGTGTGTGTGTGTGTGTTGTCTGCGCCACACCTAGCAGTGCTCAGGGATTACTCCTTGCTCTGTGCTCAGGAATCACTCCTGTTAGTGTTTGGGGGACCATATGAGGTGCCGGGGATCAAACTCAAGTTATCTATATGCAAGGCAAATACAACCTGATATGCTATCTCTCCAGCTCCACTTTTTTTTTTGATATAGTGTAAACTTTACCTTAAGTTCAATAAAAACATCATACAGAATCATTGCTTGGTTTTCTAACAATCTACTCATGTGAAAATCCAGTTTAGTTTGTCAAATATTTATTGGCTTATACAATGTGCGTGGCACTGTACTGCCCTTAAGAATCTCGTAAAATAGGAATTAAATAGAATCGTATATGAAAACCTGTCCTTTGTAATCAAGGAAGTTTTCTCCCTCACTCAACAAATTGTCAAAATTAATGAAAGAGAAATTATAAGAATTCTCTAAAATACCCTTGTGTTGAATACATCAATGATGTATTTAAACTGATCTTTCTTTTGGAAACAACAATGTTGCATTATTATTGTTGAGGCCCTGGTTTCAAAGTCCATGAATTAAGGAATTAAAGTGATTATGTTAAAAAGGGTATGTCTCATGATTGCACTACTAATTTTTTTTTTCTTTTTGGGTCACACCTGGCGATGCACAGGGGTTCCTCCTGGCTCATGCACTCAAAAGTCACTCCTGGCGGTGCTCCGGGACCATATGGGATGCTGGGAATCGAACCCGGATCGGCCGTGTGCAAGGCAAATGCCCTACCCGCTGTGCTATCGCTCCAGCCCCTGCACTACTAATTTTTCAGGTACAACTATTTATTAAATTTAAATGCTCTATTCAGTCAGAACTTTTCCTCAGGAACTCTTCCTTTTAAAAAGAAACTTCAAATAGCAGACAACGATGAAACTCCAAATTTGTCAAATTTAATAAAGTGTGCAAATGAATAAATAAAATTTTATATTTACTGAAAGATGAAATTGGACTGTAGAGATGGAACAAGGTTGAGTTATTTGCCCTGCATCCCACTGGCCCTGGTTCAATCCTTGGAAGCACCTGGTGCTTCCAACTACCACGAAAAGTCACTTCTGAACACAGAGCCAGAAATAACCCCTGAGCACTGTCAGGTGAGACTTTACATGACATCAAAGGAAGCAAAGTATTATATACCATATCAAAAGAATAGGTGAAGAGTGTGTCTTACCAAGCACAGTGTTTGCCTCAGATGCTGATTTACCATATTGTTGTTCTAAGTATTTAAACACGTAAGTAAGAATACCAATAAAAGCGCTCACTTGTAGTAACACTGACAACAATAGTAAAACATAGACAGTATTTGTCAGGAGGCTTTTCAAGGACTGGAAAAAATCTATGAAACATAAAAGAAAATGTAACATGCCTTAAATATGTATAATACAATCCTATAAATATGCATTATTAAAAGTGACACAAGAATAAAAATTACATACATGCACAACATAGGAAGTATACAGCTTTTGTGCATTTCTTCTATTGTTCCTGTAAGCACGTTAATATTAAGAGAATAAATTTTATTCCAAAATGGGATTACACACATGTGGCTTTATTACTTGCCTTGTACGCTCCAAATTTGGTCATTACTAGCATTCTAACATTCGAACAACAAATATTTGGCATTCAACTGTGTGCCAAGCAATATGATAAACGTTTCAAGAAATAAAAGACATGAAATATATCTTACTTCTTAGCATCTGATACATAATTCTTATATGAATAACGTCACTACAAGTAGAAAATTATCTTGGAAATAATATAACCCAGGACTGGAAACATAGCTCAGTGGTAAAGCACACGCCTCGAACGTGTGAGGACCAGGGTTCCATCCACGGCATCGCACTGGTCCCCAATCCCAGCACCAAGCACCCAGCACTGCTGACCCCAACGGGTGCAAGCACGGCAGGGTGTCGTTCCCCCCAAATACAAAATAATAATAATAGGAATGCAATTGAAACCTCGCAGAACTAAGGCAGCTCCATTTCAAAAATCTGAAAGATCAGTGTAGATCTTGTGTAATCTCCGGGTGGCTAGGAGACCCCGACGACTCTCTCTGGCCACCTGTGTTCAGTGGATGCGAGTGGCTTCCCCAACTGGGATGGTTGATGCCATGGGTGGACCAAGGAGGAAATGAGGCCGCCAGACTGGTTGGTGATCAGTTGCCATTAATTCCATTCTCTCCTCACACCCGTTCCAGTCTCACTGAGCTTCCTATTCCAGTCTCACACTGCCGCCTCAGTTCTGTCTCCTCCTGTCTTTCCTGCTCATCTCTCTGCCTCCCTCTGGCAGCCTGGTCTCTCTCTCTCTCTCTCAGTGCGCCTGTTCCTGCATTCTTCCCCTACATTCTTCTCCCTCTGCCCGCCCCTCCCTTGCTAGTCTCTCTGCACTCCATCTTGCTGCCCTGGTCTCTCTCTCTCTCTCTCTCTCTTTCTCTCTCTCTCTCTCTCATCTGCAACTCCCCAGCATTGGGGCTAGCCATCACACCCCATCCTGTAGCCCAATCAACATATCAAAAGCCCTTCCTGATCACCCAGCAGGCTCAAGGGCGGAATTACCACCCAGGGGTGTTTCTCCTCTCCTTAGTCCAATAACTTAATTAACATCTTAATTAACATCTCAATGAACATCTTAATTCTACTTCTTATAATATTAGTTATTTTGTATGGATACAGTAAGAGATACATTCAGCTTTTAGGGTGCTCTCCTGGGGACATCTCGCTATAGATTTCAGACTACATTAATGTCAGATTAATCTTTCCCAACCCTAGCAGGGTCCTACTCCAGTAATTACTTTTTGGTTCATGACAGAATTTGTCCAATTTGACCATTTTCTTAACTTATAGTTAAGTATTATGGCACTTTGGCCAGGCCCATTTCAATGCCAGAGTAGCTCACAGCTTGCCCTGGGTCCATCCAGTCGCTCATCTGGACCCTGCTTTTGGGTGCTAGGAAGTAAGGGCAACTGAGGCTTAAGTCAAGAAAACAGTTGCCCAGGAGTGAATATCATTTGGAGTTCACTAATTCCCAAGATACAGAAGCATAGCATTAACTGTCTTCCTGTGACTATACAAAAGTGACTTTGCTCTGAATTAAAGATGCAAAGGACTTAAGGAGAAGAGAAAAGCAATATTTACAAGTTAACAGAGCACAAAGAAAGAGGTTACAAAGAAACACAGAGGAATGGGAGGACTGTGATGGGAGTAACCCAATAAACCTAAGCTTCCTGTGGCAAGGCAGAAAGGACAAACCGATGTTATCCTACAGAACTTATGATTCAGATTGTTTCCTAATAGTCAGCTTTTCTGCCATAAAATACTCCCCCTGTGGATGCAGCAGTATTAAAAAAGCACCTTTCTTCAGTTCCAATAAGAGGCAGAGGATAATCCTGTTTGGTCTTAGATTACATCATGGCAGTGACAGCACGGGAAATTGGTTCTTACAGACAGGAGTGGAAGGCATGGACTTCTGACCCTGTGGGCTTGTGGCCAGCAGGCTAAAATGGGAGCTTGAAGAGGAAAGTTCTCAGCTCAGTAAAGCAGCTGGTGCGGTGCTCGCAGTAAGAGACACTCAGGCACCCAGACTGGGGGAAGAGTAGTGCGAACTTTGAAAGCTCTCTGAAGATCTCTGCTAGAAAAGACCAGAAGAAGAAGAAAGCCACCTCGTCAATTGGTAACTAAGACAGGATATTGGTAGAGCAGGGGTCAAAGGTCTCGGACCATCAGTATTGTGGGGGTGAGGGGTGTGGGTACGGCCATAATTCCAAACCACGGACTCAACACAGAAACATGAGATCCATTCTATGGCAATCCAATGTCATAATGACCCTGACAAGGTGTCGGGCAAAGGAAGGGAAAACTTGGGAACACTGGTCGAGGGAAATTGACACTGGTGGTGGGGTTGGTGACAGAACAGTATTTGCATAAAACTCAACTACCTACAGCTTTGTAGATCCCAGTGCTTTAATGAAATAAAATCTAAAAACGGCATCATCTGCTTGTTAGAAGAGAGACCACAAAGAGGAAAGATAAGAGGCAAGTAAATTGATAGCAGGACCACATAACATTTAAAATCATCAAGTCAAAATGTTCAATTTCTCTATGGGAACACCTTCCTTGCTGCCCTGTGTGTGCTTCATGGGGAAGGAGGTCTGATTTAGGTGGTTTTACGAATGAACTGCGATTTGACCAAAAGAAACAGAGCCCAGAGGTCACCAAGTGGTGGAATTTCTGATATAGCTGGAAAGTCAGATATCATGGAATCTGACCTTCTACACAACCATGATTCACTCTGCGGCCGCAAAATTGCATCCAAAACTACTTGAGGGACATTAAACTGACCACCTAGTAAGGAGTTTGTTCTATTCTTGGAAAACTCAGTTATGAAGTATTGTCATAATGAACTGAAATTTCCCTTTCTCTCCATCTTTCTTAACAGTTAATATTATTTTTATCCAGCACCCAAGAGAAGGCACACTGTTTCCTTTAATTCAATGTTCTTAGTTATTTCATGCAAGATAACACATAATTAAGGAGCTCTTTACTAGTCTGGTGACTGTTGTGCAAACACCAAGGTGACAGATAATGAGTACTCATGAAGAGTACAGTTGTTCTCATTCTGCATCTTCCTGATAGTCTGTTCTTCTGAAGTTCAGAATCAACCCTATATATATATTTTGGTGTAGATAAATCACTAATTTTCTATTTAATTAATTAATTAATTAATTTGCTTTTTGGGTCACACCCAGCCGATGCTCAGGGGTTACTCCTGGCTCTGCACTCAGGAATCACTCCTGGCGGTACTTGGGGGACCTTTGGGATGCTGGGAATCGAACCCAGGTGGGCCGCGTGCAAGGCAAACGCCCTACCCTCTGTGCTATTGCTCCAGCCCCAAATCACTAAATTTTTAGAACTTTATTTTGCCCAATGAAAATAATACAGATCAAAGAAAACTTATATGACATGATTTTTTTTGTGTGTGTGTGCATATGACATTTTAAAAAAATGATTTTAGTCACTGTGATTTATAATTCTATTAATGAGAGGATTTCGTGCATACAACTTTCCAACAGCATACTCTCTACCCCTGTACACATCCCTCCACCACTATCTCATTCTCCATCCCCAGCTTCTTTGACCAAGGTTAGCTAGGTTCTAAAGACCAGGTTTTAGTTTCTGTTACTTTTGGTCACTTTTGTTCCTTTACCATGCTTCTTGACAGCTGCACACACACACAAACATGCAACTCCTCTGCTACATGGATATCCTCTGCACAGCCGCCAAACTGTGAAAAAGTTCAGGTATCCCAGTGCCCAGGCTGAGAATGCCGCTGTTGCTCAGAGTTGGAGTGGGCAGACTTCTCTCACCCACTGTACTTCCAGAAGCCCGAGCAAGCCACGCCCAGCTCCCACAGTCATCTCTGTGTCAACTCATTGGCCTAGACCAAAGATCCTGAAGTCTTTGAGCAGATGCGGGACACCTTCTAACTCCTCAGTACTGAAATTCCAATAGAGCACACCAAATTTGATGGGAAAGTAACCTAGCAGTCAACTAAACTCACCAAACAAAAACAATAACGCAGAAGGTTCAACAAGCAGCTTAGCAAATTCTTAGACCAGGACTAAAAAAAACCCCATGATGAGATATAACAATTTTCACAAAAAAATTGATTTTTTAGCACAGCGATAGGGCGTTCGCCTTACAAGCGGCCAACATGGCCGACCCGAGTTCGATTCCTCCGCCCCTCTTGGAGAGCCCGGAAAGATACCGAGAGTATTCGATATGCCAAACACAGTAACAACAAAGTCTCCAATGGAGACGTTACTGGGCCCGCTCGAGCAAATCGATGATCAACGGGAGGGCCTTTACCTTTACCTTTACCTTTACCTTATACTTATTGACTTTAATACTACAGCTTTGTTATCAAATCAATTTCAACTATAGAATTGTATGAACAGTTTTAACTTTGTCTACATTAAAATAAATAAAAATATTAAAACAAAAAATATAATGGGTTGTATAATACTTGATCCAGTTTGAGAATATATGAAAGAAATATTACAGTCCTTCTAAAGTGGGAGTTTGCAAAATAATTTTAAATGAATACAAACTTTTTGGCTCGTAAGTAACAGATGCTTTTAGTCATTAGTTGATCGCTTCCTGATAAAGAATAGAAATAATCCTTTTGTCTCCAGAGAGTTGTTATAAGCTCAGTAAAGAAAAATTTTAGTCAGAGGCATAAAATTCAACTAAATTTAGTGCAGAAGAAAGTTCTTATTTTTGGAAAGCAGAAGCCCCGGTTGTCCCTTTCATTGGAATGAATCATTCTAAGTTGATCTTCAATATAAAATACTTACCAGCCAGACTTGCAGTAGCATTTTCGGTAGAGCTGTTGATTGAATCAACTGTTTGATGCTTTTCCTCATTTGTTTTGAGTTGATGCAAAGATAGTGAAGCTTTTCTTCCTTGATGCTTATGCAGACTTTTGGGCAGGAAAAAGAATGGTATGGAAGACATAACGGCCAACAATCCAGACACAAGGAAGCCGAGCCACCAAGCTCCAACCCAACGAGAGTCTGTAGGAGTTATTCTTATAGTGCCTAGAACATGGAATTGGAAGAAGCCAATTAAAAAAATGATTTTGAAACACAATGAATTCTAGGCAATAGTGGGAATGATTTTTATTTATTTAATTTTTATTAGTGAAACACAATGAGGTACAGTTGTAGACTTACAAATTTTTGTGCTTGCGTTTCAATTATACAATGATCAAATGCCCATCCCTCCATCAGTGCCCATTTTCCACTACCACGGATCCCACTATCCCTCCCACCTCCCACCCCTCCCATCCCACCCTGCCTCTGTGGCATGGCTTGGAGACCAGCCACACATGCTAGGGGAAAAGGTAGCTCAGATAGAGAAGGGAGCACCAAATAAAGGGTGTTGGGAGGATCCTCCCGGGATGGGAGATGCATGCTGAAAGTAGACTCTAGACAGAACATGATTGCCACTCAATGCCTCTTTCGCAAACCACAACACCCAAAAAGAGAGAGAGAATGATTTTTTTAAATAAATAAAGTAAACCATAATTTCATCAATTCCAAGACCACTCCCTACCCAGAACCCCACTTCTGAGGGCTACTGTTGGCCCACTGTGAAGTCTTTTCCATTTTGCAAATGAATCCTTTGATTTCTTTGGAGATCTCTGTAAGTCCTGGTCTCATAGGACATCACTGTCACTACCCTCCCGTTGTTCATCGATCTGCTTGAGTGGGCCCAGTAACGTCTCCATTATGAGACTTGTTGTTACTGTGTTTGGCATATCGAATACGTTACGGGGCGCTTGCTAGGCTTTGCCGTGCAGCCGAGATACTCTCAGTAGCTTGCCGGGCTCTCCGAGAGGGGTGGAGGAATCGAACTCGGGTAGGCCATGTTGGCTGCGTGCAAGGCAAACGCCCTACCACTGTGCTATCGCTCCAGTCCATAGGACATCAGATTTGTTTATTCACAAACACTATTGGGACTGGAGACATAGTACAGCCTGTAGGTGCTTGCCTTGCATGTGGTCAACCTGGGTTCAGATCCCCTCACCCCACAGGGTCCCCAAAGTTCATCCAGAATGAACCCTGAGTTCAGAGTGGGTCACAAGTCCTGAGTACAGCCAAATGGGCCAATAAACCAAACGAAGTCGATCGTAAAAGTTTTATTGTTGACTTTTTGTTTGTTTATTTTGGTAGTGCTTAGGACTGACTCCTGGCTCTGCACTCAGGGTACACTGCTGGTGGATTTGGGGGATCAAAGGGGGTTCTGGCAACAAAACCCCCAAACGCTACTTAGTTACTTAATATGTTAAAACAATACATGTTTCAGTCTAAAAGAAGGAGCAGGAAAACTGATGGTTCATTGAGATAAGGATTCCCAAAGCATCACTTTGGTAATCACTAGAATTTTTTTCTTTAACTTTAAAACTAGGTGAGATTTTCTTAAAAAGAGGAGCCACATTTTGTATTAGACTTTAGGAAATATACACAGAGAAATGGAGAGATTTCTAAGTGCAAAATTAATTGTAAATAGAGAGAAGTGAGATTACAAGGTGGAAAGTTTGAGATCAATTTGCAATTATTTTGGCAGCAGTCATTTAAAATAAATTTACAGCTCAACCCAGCTGCACAAACTTTGTGTAGGTAAGAGATAAATTTAATTTTTATTCTGATTATTAATCAATAATTTTTCTCTCTCTAACTTTTTCAAATTTCAAATCAGCAGAGGACAATTGAAAGAGCAAATTCGATTATTTGGAAGAATAGCAAACTTGGAAAGTGTATTATCTTGTTTTAACTGTACTTACTCAGATCGACATATCCGACATCCACATATATTTTAAAAAACAGAGATCCCATCAAAAAGCCAATGATAGGCCCAATCATTGAAACTCCATTCAAAATACCTGAAAATATTATAAAATCATTTTATCAGTTGACAAGAATACATAATTTTTTTTTTTTTTTTTGCTTTTTTGGGTCACACCCGTTGATGCACAAGGGTTACTCCTGGCTCTGCACTCAGGAATCGCTCCTGACAGTGCTCGGAGGACCATATGGGATGCTGGGAATTGAACCCGGGTTGGCTGCATGTAAGGAGGCAAACGCCCTACCCGCTGTGCTATAGCTCCAGCCCCCAAGAATACATAATTTTTATTCAGTATTTTCAGTAACATTACACAGTACATCTCTCCAAACAAATTTTTAGTAAGTAAAAAATTAAACATATGAACACTATTATTTCAAGGTTAGACCAGGGAGATAGGTAGTATTTTTATACATCACCTAAATAAAAAGAAGACTGTCCTTTTTTAGCAAAATCATCAATGTAAGAAATCCCCAACGGTCCTATGGGGGTTTCCCCAATTCCACGTAGCATGTTGCCCAGTAGAACAAATACCCACGTATATGACCCAGATTCCTTTTCATGACCTATGTAGACAAGAAAGAGTTTTGTTTTAATCATTATCATCAACCTTTCTATTAGAATCTCAATGACATTAACCCCTAGGTGGTTCCATTTAAGAAACTTTGTTGACTTTCTAATTGTGAGTGATTAGTTCATTTTTCAAAATTTGAAAATGGGAGAGCACAAAGAAATCATTATCTCGCCACACAGACACAGAAGTAGTTCTAAGGTTTGTGTATAATTTTTACATTTTGAGCATACATAAAATATGCAATATTTATTTACATTATATACATAACATCTGGGATATATTGCACTTGACTTTTACTCATTATAACTAACCATAACAATGCTTTTGTAACTGGAAAAATCATTTACATTGATTTTTACATCAGAGTTTTTTAATTGCTGCATAGTAATAAACTAGGTTGAAGTCTCACAATCTTTCTAACCAAGTTCTTTATTTTTTAGATGCTGGTCCTTAAACATCTGCTCATTTGTTTATATTTTAATCAATTTTTTTATTCCCCCCCCTCTTCTTTTTCTGGAGGGATCTCACACATGCAAAGGGTCTGCTCCAGCCCTTTAGAGGTATTTCTTTAGTTCTGTACCAAACTATTCTTTTTTTTTTAAAAAAAATTACTTGTAAAAGATCTTCATTTATTATACATATTAATGTTATGAGTTTGTCTAACATACATAAAATTTAAATGTTTCCTCTCCTTTTTTTTTTGATGTTGTTTGTTTTCTTGGAACACCCTTGGCAAAGCTCAGAGACTACTCCTGGCAAAGTGCTCAGGGCCAGTCATCAGGGGACCAGATGGGGCTGGGAATGGAATGTGGAACTCAGGAATGCCACACAAGCACTCCAGTCTGAGTTCTCTCCCTGGTTCCCCTCCCTGTTTTTAAATCAGTTTTGCTAATTACTATTATTTTTGAAGATGTGATAATGATAATTTTTTTTTGTGAAGTAAAACAGATCTTATTTGGAGGATTTTAAAGGAGGAGGATTAGGAGGAGGAAAAGTGGGAGAGAGTGGAGACTAATGCTCTCAAGAATGAACAAATGGTAAATTTTAGAAAACCAGTCAGATTACCCATTCTTACCTTTTCCTACCATGTGAGTTGAGGTTCTATTAAGTAACACATTTTGGTTAGGGGCACAGACCGATAAACTTGATGTTAAATTGCCTGATGTATTAGTAGAGAAATCTTTGGAATACCTGTAACTACAGGAACATCACTAAATTTAGAAGTATGCTTTTAAAAGAAATAGAAATAAAACAGAGGTTTTTTTTAACATAGTGCATTTGACATATATTCTATTACATATTTATGTAATAGCGATAGCACAGCGGGTAGGGCGTTCGCCTTACAAGCGGCCAACATGGCTGACCCGAGTTCGATTCCTCTGCCCCTCTCGGAGAGCCTGGCAAGCTACCGAGAGTATTCGATATGCCAGACACAGTAACAACAAAGTCTCCAATGGAGACGTTACTGGGCCCGCTCGAGCAAATCAACGATCAACGGGAGGGCCTTTACCTTTACCTTACCTTTACATATTTATTCATATGCATTTATATACATATATTCCATATTTATCACTGTCCTCCCATTGTTCATCGATTTGCTTGAGTGGGCCCAGTAACTTCTCCATTGGAGACTTTGTTGTTACTGTGTCTGGCATATCGAATACGTCACGGGGAGCTTGCCAGGCTCTCGGTAGCTTGCCGGGCTCTCCGAGAGGGGCAGAGGAATCGAACTCGGGTCGGCCATGTTGGCTGCGTGCAAGGCAAACGCCCTACCGCTGTGCTATCGCTCCAGCCCCTCCATATTTATAGACATTTATTTTTATATAAACATAAAAATATATTTAATGTAATATATATATAGACTGGAGTTCGATTCTTCTGCCACCCTCGGAGAGCCTGGCAAGCTACCGAGAGTATCCTGCCCACATGGCAAAGCCTGGCAAGCTACCCATGACATATTCGATATGCCAAACAAAGTAACAAGTCTCATAATGGAGACGTTACTGGTGCCCACTCGAGCAAATCGATGAACAATGGGAGGACAGTGCTACAGTGATACAGTGCTACTAAATCTTAGTTGTCATATAGGAAGAGAGGTGATGAGCTTGGATTGGAGACAAGGGAAGCAGAATTGGAGAAGTCCCAATAGTAATGACATGTGGGTTGAATCCTGAAGACAGGAAGGAGATTAGCATGTCGACAAAGCAGGAAAAAACTCAAGGCTGTAGAAACAGAGCATGCAAAGGTAGGATGTGTCATGGCACTATTTGAAAGTTGCAGACCTATTGTGTGAACCATCATGGGGGAAAATTATAGCTGAAGCAAGGAAGAGTCTGAGAGACCAAATCAAGCGGCGTAGTAAATACACAAGTAAGTTTAACAATCAGTTCACAGATGAGAGCCATTCAATATTCTTTTTTTTTCTTTTTTTTTTGCTTTTTGGGTCACACCCAGTGACGCTCAGGGGTTACTCCTGGCTCATGCACTCAGGAATTGGTCCTGGTGGTGCTCGGGGGAACATATGGGATGCTGGGAATCGAACCTGTGTCGGCCATGTTGGCTGCGTGCAAGGCAAACGCCTTAACTGCTGTGCTATGGCTCCAGCCCCACCATTCAATATTCTTGACTTTGGAAAACGGTAGGAAATATATTTCCAACACAGCCATGGTACGTATGGATACATCCACACTCCACAACCACAGTACATACAAATACATGGACAAAACTAAATATTTATTAGAACAATATTTAGCTCCAAACTGTATTCCTCACTTAAAAAAATTCTACCTTATCCTTGTTGGTCACCATAATCCAAGTTGGTTTACTAGTCTACTAGGAATTAGGGATCTAAAGTTGGGAAAACACTGATCTAGGAAATTGAAAGTTGTTAGCAGGAGTAAAACAATTAGAGTTATGTTTGAACACAAATACTCTGGCATAGAATATGAATTAAAGCGATGTTAAAACTGGAGGCAAATGTCTAACGCTTTGGGGCTTGAGTGAGAGTACAGTGGGCAGGGCACTTACCTTGCTTGTGGCCAACCCAGGTTCAATCCCTGGTATAACATACGGTCCCCCAAGCACTTCCCAAAATGATCTCTGAGCACAGAGAGCCAGGATTAAGCCAGTAGCAACACCAAGTCTGGCCAAAAACCCCCAAAACCAAAAAGTTCAAAATGCCTAAGGCGTAGATGATGAAAGCTCCAGTTCCATTAGGGACAGTAGGGATGGAAAGAGCCGACAAGTGTGACAAGTAGGAGGCTGATTAAGCATTATTTGGTGACCACGGGGCTTACGTGATGAAGCAAAGAATGAGGATAGGATGAGTTGATGTGCTTTGTGATTAAATGACCCATTATGGAAGAAAATGAATGTGAAAAATTAGTACTGGTTTGGGCCTCGAGATGTCTTACTTCTATTTCTATGTGTGGGAATACTGCATGTTTTGTTCCTATGGGTGGCGGGAATATTGCATGTTTTGCTCCTATTGGTGGGAATGCTGCATGTTGGATACTCATGAGATGGTTGATCATATCAGTCCTTTTTGTTTGTTTGTTTGTTTGTTTGACTTGGGGCCACATCAGGTAATAATCAGGGGTTATTCCTGGCTCTGAACTCAGGATTTACTCCTGGTGGTGAATGGGGAATCAGATGGGATGCCAGAGGTTGAACCCAGTTTGGCAGGGTGCAAGGCAAATGCTCTACCTGTTGTACTTTCACTCTGGCCCCCTGATTCTATCAAACTTGAGTGCAATAGAAGTTGTAATACTGAAGAGGGATGTAAGGGAATGCTAGCAATATAGCATCAGCAACAAGAGAAGGGTAGGTAATGGTGAAGAGGGCAGGAATAAGAAAATACTTACGGAGGTCAACTAAAAAAAAAAGAAAGATCCTTACTTAAAACAAATTCCATATTGACTTTGCAATTTTTTGAATTTACATGGTAACCCAAAGGCATGACTTTGATGGACAATGAGTGAGTGATTAATACTTCAGCATTGTCACACATTATCCATCCAATTTCCTTCCACCTAACAGATTTTTCAGATGGGAGTAAGGCAGCCAGGAAAGAAGGCAATATTTTGGAGTAATGTCTTTATCTCTGGATTTGAAATATATCAAAGTTCTAGCTAAGGTGAAGCCAATGGATGCTGGAGATTTCTGGAAACATTTTCTTTTCTTTTTTCTTTTTTCTTTATTTTTAATTTTTATTAGTGAGACACCATGAGGTACAGTTGTAGACTTATAAATTTTTGTGCTCGGGTTTCAATTATACAATGATCAAATACCCATCCCTCCACCAGTGCCCATTTCCCACTACCACGTATCCCAGTATCTCTCCCACCCCTCATCCCCCCCCATCCCACCCTGCTTCTGTGGCAGGGCATACCCTTTTGTTCTCTCTCTCTCTCTCTCTCTCTCTCTCTCTCTCTCTCCTTTTGGGTGTTGTGGTTTGCAAAAGAGGCTGTGTGTATGTTCTGCATCGTACTGCCTGTGACAAAATCCCTCAGGTCTCACTATAATGTCAAGGCTATGCAGGGCAGAACAACAGGACTAAAAGGAGCAGCATCATATCATGCCTGGGCCAGCCATCATCATCATCATCATCATCATCATTCTTTTGTCTGCACTTAATATCAGAATACAATTATAGCTACTGGCTAGTGACCTTGGAAGAAGAGTCTCGGTCCAAACAGCAGTGACATATTGGGGAGCAGGGACATATTGCAGGGAGTAGGAGGTAAAGTCTTACTGCATAGAATCTAATTCCTGGAGGCAAAGACATGAAATTCATATATTGTACTGGAGAAGTCAAATGTATTTGCTTCCTGTGAAACCATCTACCTTACCTAGTGCTATTCATGTCTCAAAGTCAATGAAATTTGCCATCAATAAATAAGTCAGCAAGTTCATTTTTGCACACACACAAAAAACTCCAATTCTAACATTTTTAGTCGGTGTTCTTCTCAAAAAGTGACTGTTTACTGACCAGGAAAAAAACATGAAAATCTACTACAAAATGATAATGCAAATGGTAATTAAGAACCGTTGCACACTTACTATCCCATGAAGAAATGTGGTAAAGCAGTAAGAATACTTCCCATTCCCATGATGAAACAACCAATTCCAATTATCTTCGGCCTGTGTAGCTTGGATCCAAAGTAACTTACAAATACAATCACTAGCAGGTTTCCTAGAAAGAGAAGAAAGTCAATTTGATATGACTAAGTAGAGGAAATACTGAGTACAATTTTGTGCCCAGCAGGAAGAAAGGCCCCAGAATGGTTATAAAACATTGTATTTTTCTAAACAAATCATATAACTTAATGGAGAACCCCACCGGGTTCCATCACTGGTTTCCCATATGGTCTTCGGAGAGCCAGAAGTGATCCCTGACTGTAGACATGAGAAGACCCTGAGCACTAGTGGGTGTGGGTCAGCCTCCCTCCCTGTCCCCCACACAAAAAGAAAAAACACAGTTCTATACATATGATGATAAATTTTCTGAAATTCAGGGATAAAGTGCAGATACTTATTATACTTATTAGTGAGTGAATGATACTGCTGATGATTTCTCATATACAATACAGAATAAATACAAAGAGATAGAGACGTGTTTCAAATACTCTGAGGAAAAACATTTTGGACTCCTAATTCCATGCTGAAATTATTACCTGATTATAGGTAGTGAGAAGAACACGTGCCTTACATGAAGATGATCTGAATTAGATCCCTGAACCACAAATGATACCCAGAGTCAAGCCAAAAGTGCAATCCCTGAGTACAGAGCAAGGGGTAAGTCCTGAGCACAGCCTGGGTATGCTCCCAAGGACAAAAAAAGAACAATTGACAATGGAAATGATGTGCAATTTATAAAACGAGAGAAAATAATGGTTCAAAATCACATAAGATCCTACTCTGGTGGGAGAAATTTAAGTTAAAATGAAGGCAACAAAGCAATACATTCAATGCCCCTAAAAATTATTATTATTTTTTCTTTTTTTGTAGGAGTACTGCTATTTATTCAGCCACTGATTAGCTGATTTAATTGGGCATGAATTCCACCTTACTTTTTTTTTTCTTTTTCCATTTTTTATAATTTTATTTATTGAATCACCATGAGAGCAGTTACAAAGCTTTTGGGTCTAAGTCTCAGTCATACAATGAAACACCCGTACCTTCACCAGTGCCCATTCTCCACCACCAAAAATCCCAGTATACCCCCATCCCACACCCTCCCCCTGCCTGTGGGGCAGATGATCTCCACATTACTCTCTCTCTCTCTCTCTACTTTGATCACATTCAATATTTCGACACCAGGCCCACCATTATTATTTGAGATTTACCCCAACACTCAGATCTGCTGAAAAGGCAACAGTAGACAATTTGTGTTCTATTGCTGGTTATGACTAACATATGATGTCATGTGGCTGCAGTAGGGCCATGTGGTTTTGAAATTCTGAAATTTTAACACTTAAATCTGGAGGGATTTCTGCCAAAAGCCACTGGGTTTAGAGATCTGCTCCTGAGTCTCTGGGATCATGGCCGTTGAGCAGCTTGATGAGGAGTCAAAGAGGCCATTCGCGGGCGATGACTTGGGGTCTCATTGGGGTGGGGAAGACAGGCCCGGCTCCACCTCCCCCCCCCATCCCGTGAGACCCAACAAGTTTCGTCACTGCGGGCCCAAGCCTGACTGTCCAATGGCCTCTGGAGGATGACAGCCACCAAGTCGCCAAGAGGGAGCATGTGGAGGGACAGCACCCATTCCCCCCTGGGGTGGCCTGGCGACAGTAACCTACTGCGGGGTCTGGACACATTTCTGACAAAAGCTGCTGGGTTTCGAGATTTGTTTCTGAGTCTCTGGGATCATGGCCGTTAAGCAGCTTGATCAGGAGCCAGAGAGGCCATTCGTGGGCAATGACTTGGGGTCTCGTTGGGGTGGGGAGGGCAAGCCCGGCTCCACCCTCATCCCATGTGTGTCTCGTCACTGGGGGCCCAAATGTGACTATCCAGTGGCCTCAGATGGATGGCGGCCACTGGGCCGCCAGGGGGAATAGGCCAAGGCACGAAACCTATTACCACCTGGGTTGGTCCAGCACCGGTAGCCTACTGCAGAGACCAGACGCATTTCTACCTAAAGCCACTGGGTTCTGAGATTCGTTTCTGAGTCTCTGGGATCATGTCCATTAAGCAGTTCAATCAGGAACCAAAGAGGCCTTGCCTCCAATTATATAGCTGAGCTGGAGGTGGTTTGTGGGTGTGTTTCCCACATACCTAACTTTTGGCCATTTACTTTCTTGGTAAACTTTGCCCCAAGTTTTTGGGGTCTGGCCAAAGGCACAGCAGCAATTTTGGGGTATCTGGAAGTCTGAAGGCACCATCAGGCTGCTGATGCACTCGCCTCACAGGTACAGATTGACCTGCTGGCGGCACCATACCCCTAAAAATTATTTTAACCCCCGATTTTACACCCAGTTAAAGAGCAGAGTCCTGAAATAGTTTACTCCAAAGCTGTCTTGGGCCCCATCATCAGAAGCAAACTCCTCTCTGCAATCTTTTTTGCCCTACGGTATCTGGAGAGAGGGGAAAAAAACAAAGCCCTAAAATATTAATTTGCAAACAATGGGTTTTCATCCTCTGTATCACCACCATTCTGAGCTGGAAATTTCTTTGTGCCCTGTGTACAATAGGATATCATCCATTTCCCTGGTCTTTGAACAGTCCAGTAGCTTCCCTCCTCCTCAAAGTTATGACCAGTAAAGATATCTTCAAATACTGTCAAATTGCTTCTTGGGCAAATTTGCCCCTGCTTGACAACGACTTAAGTGGAGCGTATATGAACAGCTTTTACCTCTGCAAATAGGGTCCTTCCGTGATTATCAAAATAGAAATAAAAATTACCCATTTCAAAGCTTCCATCAATTAATCCGACAACAGAAGAGGATATTTCAAATCTCCTTTCTATTTGAATGATGGAACTTTTCATCACAACTCCGCCCAGGGTCTTGCAAATATAGCTCAGGGACAGAGCTACCAGAAACATCTAAGGAAGAGTGGAAGGAAAGGCAAATGGTTAAGCAAAGAATTACATAACTTTCATATGTGCAGGGAGGGAAAGGAACTTTTATTTTTTACTAAAAACTTTTTGTATTGTACAAAAAATACACCTTTTCTCTATACTAATTGGTACTCCTTAACCCTTTCAAGGATGATGATAAAGCATCATTTTCTAACGTGGATTGTATTAACAAATTACACGTTTTATTTTTATTTATTTACTTACTTATTTTTGCTTTTTGGGTCACACCCGGCGATGCACAGGAATTACTCCTGGCTCTGCACTCAGGAATTACTCCTGACAGTGCTTGGGGGACCATATGGGGTGCTGGGAATTGAACCTGGGTCTGTCGTGTGCAAAGCAAATGCCATACCCGCTGTGCTATCGCTCCAGCCCCAACTCATTTTATTTTTAATGAATATATGATCTGGTTTTTAAGAAGCTGGAAGTATGAGATGACAGGATATATATTTTATTTATAAATAAATAGCAGATAATCACTGACTAGAGTGACATTCTCAAAAATAATATGTCTAGAAAGTCAACAGAAAAACGGACATTTCCATGTATAAAGCCTCATCATATTTACAGGAATCCTAAACAAAATAAGATATTAAAACAATCTAATTTTTAAGACTTTAAATTCGTGTGGTTGTAGGTAGTTTATTTTCAATTTCATTTGAACATTTATTAATTAATCCCTCTTGTACAAATACTTTCTATGGATATAACCCATATCAGTAGGTGAATTCCTTTTGCCTCTAGTAAAAAAATCAGATTCTGTTATGAATATCATGATGTCCCTCCAATAGTTGTAGGCTGAAATACTGACCTCTAACATGGTGGCATCTGAAAAGGTCCTCGCCCAAACCCAGGTTGCTGGGACAAGCCTGATTCAGACATCTGGCATCTATAACCAGGAGAACTGCACCTGTTGTGTAAGTTACTACGTACTAAAATTGTGACAGCTGTCCTAGCCGATGTCGTCTATCTTCTGCACTGTTAGTAAGAGTATCCTTCCTCCACTGCACTATTGCATTTGACTTCTAACGGACATTCCTGTTCTGTCCTCCTGCCCCAATCTCTTCTCAATGCTGGAGTTAGATAGATTCTTCCAATATGAAAGTTAGATCATGCTGCCAAGACCTAAGTTTTCATCTCGCTTATAGCAACATCTCGTCTTTTTGAAGTTCTACAGGCCCTATAGGAGCTGTCATTCCCTCTTACTGTCCCTCTGACACAGATAGTTCTTTTTCATTGTCTAACTTCAGCTCTTGTTATTCTAATCTTTGCTCTTTTTTTTCCTAACTCAACTTTTTTTGATGTGCGTGTGTTTTGTTATTTTATTGGATTTTTAAAAAATTGAATCAAAGTGGGATACACAGTTACAAGGCTCTTATGATTTGGTTTCAGTTATATAATATTCCAACACCCACCCCTTCACCAGTGTACATTTCCTACCACCAATGGCCCCAGTTTCCCTCCCCCTCCCCCACCTGCCTCTGTGGCAGGCATTTCTCTTCTCCTCTCTCTTCCCTCTCCCCAATCTCTCTCTCTTCCCCTCTCTTCCTCTCACTTTCCTTTTGCCACCCTAACTCAACTTGCCTGGATATTTCAGGCTTATTAGATTGCCTCTAATCTTTATCTTCTTGTTTTTCTTTACACAGGGAAAAACTCTCTAGCGTCACATGCCTCTCAATTATTTGTCACAAGCTTGAAATTTTTGTTCAATGCGAACTTTGTAGGAAAGCGTTTCTTGACCAAGCTCTTCAAAATGATACCACTTTTTGTTGGGAGGATCCTCCCAGGATGGGAGAAGCATGCTGAAAGTAGACTATAGACCAAACATGATTGTCACCCATTGCCTCTTTTGCAAACCACAACACCGAATAAGAGGGAGAGAACAAAAGGGAATGCCCTGCCACAGAGGCCGGGTGGGATGGGGAGTATGGGGGGTGGGAGGGATACTGGGATCCCTGGTGGTGGGAAATGGGTACTGTTGGAGGGATGGGTACTCGATCTTTGTATAACTGAAACCCAAGCACAAAAATTTGTAAGTCTACAACTGTACCTCATGATGTCTCATTAATAAAATTTTTTAAAAAATGATACCACTTTTTGCTTACTTGTATTTTATTTTTTTGTCTAATAAATATGATCCTAATGTGAATATAATCTTCCTCATCACAAGGGATCTGTTTTGTTCACTGATATATTCCCAATGGCCAGAACAGTCCCTGTCAGAAAAGCATTTGCTGAACTGTATGCCCTGCACAAGACCATGTTTGGGGCCAAGAAATTGAAAGTTAAACCTATTTCCATGACTACTACGAAGTGTGTACTTTCCTTTCTCTATAGAGAAATTTCAACTACATAAAGGATTTTAAGGGAGATCTATACAGTGTTGCAACTGATGAAACATAATTCAGAATTTTATATGAGTTAGGAAGTTGTATAAGAATCAAGTACAAATGGGGAATGTCACCAATTACAGTTTGACTAAGTTGATGAAGAGAAGAGTAAAAGTCTTAGGAGAAAAAGATGAAACTTTTTTGTGAAGTTGGTCAAAAGTGAAAATGATCATCTTCAAGGAGGGCCAAATTCTCACACTTTAAACAAAAGGAGAATGCATAGTCTTTAGTATTGTATAAAAGACTTGAATGGAGTCTTAAAATTAGAAAAGCACGTTTCAAGTGTAAAATATGTGAAAAATAAAAACATTTGCAGGTTCTATTTCCAAAAATGTCATGTTGTTGGGTGAAATGATGGTATCAGGGTCCCTCTCTCCCAGTGAAGACATGAATGGAATAAAAAGCCATCTAAGTATTTGGATGAAACCAAAGTTCAATCTCCTTCGGCAAAAGAGCGGAATTACTGTCTGACTTAAGGGGAGCTGCTTGAGGAAACGTCTGTACCGGAGCTGCAGTACCTCAGAAGGACGCTGGGGGGAGCGTCTAAACAGAAACCTGTCGGACTATCGAAATCGTCCAGAATGGTCATAACTCAGAAAAATCTCGAGATGTTTGCAGAATCTTTGACCCCGCTAACTGATGAAAGTCATTTCTGTATGATACGCGATCGCAAGGTATGATTTTAAGTTTTTTAAAAATTTCAAATTTAAAAAATTAAAAAAAAATTTATTTAAAATTTCCCAAATACCAACAACAAAAACTAACAATAAATTTGTTAAGAATGAGAGAAAGAGGGACAAGTTAAATGTCAAAAACAAAAACAAACTCAAAAGAAACAGATACCTGAGAAAGTGAATTCAAAATAACCAGCATAAGAATGCTCCCCCCCAAAAAAAACCCCAAACAAATACAGTACAATAGACAACTGAACAAATCAGAGAAATGGTGTATACACAAAACAAAAATATTAATAAGGAAATAAAGACTCAGGAGGACCAAGCAGAAATTCTGGACAGAAAAATGGAAAAATTCACTAATAGAATTCAATACTAAACTTGATCTAACAGAAATTATTCAGTATTCAATAAACTCAAATATTGAATCAGCAGAAAAAAGAAAGGATGATTAGAAATGAAGAGCATGGCTTATGGAATAGTATCAAACTAAATAACACAGGCATTTGTGAAAGTGATTCCAAAGGTCCAAAGGAGAAACAAAAAATAGAAAAGGGAAAAAGAAATTATTTGGAGAAAGAATACCCTCAGATTTCCTAAATCTGAGAAATGTATATATAAATTCAAGGTATTAAAAGCATTCCAGGTAGGCAACTAGAAAAGACAGTCCAGGAATTAAGGCACGTACCTCCCATGTGGCTGACCCTGGTTTGACCCCTAACACCACATGGTCCCTGAGCTCTGTCAGGTTCAGCCTGGCAACTTCTGGGCACCACGTTGGCCTGAGTAATCCCTGGCACTGAAGGTCCTGAGCAGTACAGTATCCTCGGTCCCTAATACTGGACCGTTGTCCTGCTTGGTTGAAAATTGCCAAGAAGGGTCCTCAAGTCTCTCAAACCTCCAAGATGGAATTTCTCTCCTCTCAGAGGAATTCCATCTAGCATCAGTGAGATAGCTCTAAGGGCTGGACCCATTTCACCAGGCCCCATCCATATCACTATGATGCTGGGTGAACCCCCCCACAACGATTTCACATAAAATTAATATAATGAGAGACCTAGACCAAGAATAATGAAATTGTCAAAATTCATAGATTAAAAAGAAAGTCTTTAGAGTTGCAAAAATCTACTCATCAATGTGTCATTTTGATGAGCTTTTGATTACCATCAGATTTCTCAGCTAAAAAAGTTTGCAAGCTAGATGACAGTTGGGCGAAATATTCAAATTACTAAAATAAAAAGATGGCCAACAAAGAATATTATATCTTGTAAAACTTCAAGAATGAAAAGGGAATCAAGATTTTTCCGGGTAATTATATGTGTCCTGTGAGAAATGCAGGAGCATTGCAAGGTGAAGTGAGTAGTTATAAACAGAAACAAAAAGCTTTATCAAAAGGTAAAATTCCGGATCTGTGCGGGACGGGCACGGAGGCCCAGCTCTGGGCAACAAAGCTGAACGGCTCCTATTCCAACCAGGTACAGCCCTCCCCCAAGGGCCTGGGACCCTCTCTGGGCATGCGCAGCTAGCTCCATCTCCTAGAAAGCCGGTTTTCTCCCCTGATCTGCGCGGGACCGGCACGGAGGCCCAGCTCGGGGCAACAAAGCTGAACGGCTCCTCATTCCAACCAGGAGACATTCCCAACTCCTTGCCCAGTCCCAGGGACTCTTTCTGGAGCCGCAGCCGCTAACGCGGCCGCAAAATAGTTTCCCACTACATATGCCATAGGAACCATAAGCTACCTTCTTAGATGGAAACTTCTCTACTTTAGCTCAGCCACTAGAAACACAGTAGCCAATAACTCATAAGGCTATCTTAACTCACACTGCATATCAAGCAGAATAGTAACAGTGAACGTGAAGGATTAAACCGCACTTGTCACAATGGTAAAATAACGCAAAAG